CAAGGTCTTCTGGTTAATACCAGGTGAACGCGTAATACTACGAATACGCTATCAATTTGTACCTGATCACTTATTGGCCTTTGTACGTCACACAATTAGAGTCGCTTGTTAATTCTGAACGGTAGCTTTTTACGTTGTTGACTTGAGCAGGATATGTTCTTGGGAGCGTTATCGCACGACAGATTTCGTTGAGATATATGTTGGACTACATTATTGTATCGACAAGAACGTGAGCTCTATCGCGTCTCTTGTAATAGCTACCATTAGTTGTAAATACGTTCGGAATATGGGTGAAAAAACAGACGTTGACTAACGAATTGCAAAAGTATACCACATTTCGTTTGTTAAGGGGACATAGGTGATGTAATGAATGTATTAAACCTTTTACAATGAGGGTTTGTTACCTAAAGTTTTATAACATAGACTGTTTTACTTACTATCTAGATTATGCTAATTTTTGTATTTTGATTTTTTTTGTTTCAAGCTGTTCCTGTTGTTGTTGTTATTGTTGTTGTTGGTGAACCATATCAGAAAAACACCAATTAAATACACCAGTGATTTTTACCATGTTTGTATAGTTTTCGGAACTAAAATTATCTTGTTATTCGGGTTAACTGTAAGTAAAGGTGTTATGGTAAGGTAGTATTTTTGTACAAGGCAATCGAATAGCTGCTGCACACTGGGAGGTAGCAGGCTTATATGTTGCAGTGGATTGCAATTTTCCGAGCAGCTTCTTCATCACTTCGTTAACTATTCGCATGTTACGGATAGACCAGAGTGCTAGAAGAACACCAAAAAAAAAATTATGAAGGTGAGGGAACCGGGACCTGTTCATGTGACGACTGTTCAGTCGTCTATGTATGTGTTTGATGTGCTTAGAATTTTAAATGTTTGCCTATGTTAAAAAGTAAATGTTGTATTGTTTCGAAAGTCACATTTAGCCGATAAAGAGAAATAGTCAAAAATAACCTGACTGTATAGTTAGAGAATAAAACTAAACGTTCTTTTATACTGGTCCATGGGTCTGACTTGTTTATGAGGCAAAAACTTCATGTCATTAAATGGACGGTGATTAGAGTCTCATAAATGCTGCCTGCAACTGGTAGGAGAGACAGAGTGCACTGGCTATCTTAAGCGCTCACGGGGGCCCTCAGCAAATATAACAGGAATGAGGCGGTATTCAGAAAAGCCCATTTTTAAAATAAGATGCACTGATAGAAAAGAGAGCCGCGATGTGTAGAAATTAGTTGTGCTATTTGTCTTTGTATTGATCGCAATAAAAAAATTTCACAAACTAAGACAAAAGAGTGGTCAAGTGCATGCAAATGAATTTTACTCTTACTAGTGCCATAAATAGGCAAAGTTTCTACTAGCTGTTTCCTTGTTGATGATTTGTCTACAAAATATACGTCCGCGGCAACGTTCTGTAAGTAATCGCCGTATCAAATAGCTTTGAATTACCGATGCGCAAAGCGGAAATAACAGCAGATATTTTGTCGTCCGTTCATTGGGCTTCAGTTGTCGTTGTAAAACATCTTTACATAATTACAGTACAAAATTTTTTTTTTAGTACATTTTATTTATAATGTCATTTCGATTATATTTCCCACGGCTGTGGGTGTTTGCACTTATTTCAAATATATCATCCATTTTGACAGGCAAAAGGGTGCACAAAAACCGGTTACGACTACATATACTTATCCAAATATAAATTTAAAAAATAATACCCTCTTCATTGTGAGGCGAGACTTAAATGCTCACTATAATCATCGACTGCTCTCCAATTATATTACTAACCATTCGTACAGAAATTTGGAATTAATTTTCGAATGTGAAAACTTGTTGAAGAGTTTTACGCTAAACTTTAATGTACTGACTAAAGTGAATTTCAAAGCTAGAGTAAATCCCACAAGCATAAGAAATAACATCCGCAACAACTAAATTGTCAAATTAAGGAAAAACAAATTCAAATATTGCGTCTTTTACTCATTTTTGGGTGTTCTCTTAACCTCTGTGTAACCGAGTCTGTTATTACCTTTAGATCTCTATAGCTGTAAAATAGATGTTGCTACAAATAGCGGAAGCGTTATAACAAATACAGAATGTTCAAATTGGAAATTTAAATAAGACAGTCTGTACACAAGTGGAAATCAATTTTTTTCAAAACTCTATTATAGGCTTCCATTTGGTCAAAGCATGTCTGTTTCATAGAATCCATGAAGTAGATATACCTTACTTTGAAAGTAAATTGGTTAGAAACTATACATTGACTATAGTTAGTAAAAATGTTTTGTAGTTTATTGAAGTTGCGCGATACAAAAAAAGATGGTGATTTGTTTAAATTGGTTTGATATTGATTTTCTCGTGTATTTCAGGGCTATTCTCCGCTTGGTAAAAAACCACGAGGTACCGGCAGTTATATGCGTATAAAATATAGTAGGTGATGCTCAAAAGAAGACAAGCAATTCCAGTAACAGAATAGCAAAACACAGCGTATGTGGATATTGCTTCGGAAGCTTATTGATTAAAAATCTTTTTAATTCCGATGATCATCCAATGTTTCGGAATCTAAGAAAAGTCAGATCCTCTATTCGCCTGTGGTCGTTAAAAGTAGTAATGGCAAAAAGTAGTTTCGGCCAATCATTTTTCGTCACAAATATGAAATCTCGAATGCTGTGTAATGACAGTAAATTGCTGCAGTTGTTAATAACAGCGGCTCAAGTTGGATTAGTGCGCACTTTGCGTTCCATACTTCAGTAAGCTCCTTACTGCAGAAGGTCCTTGTTGATGAAGTATTCTCCAAGATGGGCGTCAGTGAATTTGTCGAGGTTCGTGATCAGTCGCTCAAGCTGAGCTATCGACTCCACCTGCTCATTCAGGAAGGTGCCCTCGATAAAGTCTTGAAGCTGAAATTGCAATTCACAGCAATGCAGAACTTGTAAGATTCTCCTGACAAAGCCATTATGATAATGGTTTGTATGTATTTTATATTTAATACATAAGCTCTGCAAAACATGCATCTGGGACACGATGTTCTAAATTGTATTTCACATTTAGTCTTGGCAATCCGCCTTTTAAATGAAACTTTTGGATTTGGCCTTGCATACACAACAGATGTCAACTTATTTCGGCTTCTCATCCATTAGAATAAGATAAAGAAGATTTTATGGGGTCATGGTTTCGGGTTTTTTAAAATCTTCAGTTCCAAGTCCAAACATCAGGAAAACCATACTTCAAACATTACCACACATTTATGCTTTAGACTTAGAAGCAGCATCTAACAATGACGGTACGTTACCATTAAGTTATTACCTGAGGATCATGGCAGTCATGTTCAGCGGTCCTGTGAAGGCCGTGGAGCTCGTTGTTAACCTTGTTCTCAAGGTCAAGAGCAGCCTGCAGCGCTTCTCTGGCAGTCTTCCACGAAACAACGGTCGGCATCTATCCAGGGCAAAGAGAATCTTTTTATATTATCTCTAGGAGCTGCGTACTAAGTCCGCTTCATAATGTATTTGATAACAAATAATATAATATGATAATAATAAGTTTAACTACATCAGACAGAATGAAACTCAAATTATTTAGTCTTTATTCACTGTATAAATTACAAATGGGGATAATTACTACTGATTATTTATTAGAGATTGGTGATGAAATGCATCTAACAGCGGAAAAAATGTAACGAAAACGTAAAACCGTGTCTACCCCGATGTTGATGTTTCCAATGGTTGCACCTCGTAAGTTGACATAGTTGATGATCTTCTGAGCGTGTTCACGCTCTTCATCCGAATTATGCTGAAAGAACTTCGCAAAGCCCTTGCGGGCAACCTGTGGCCAGAAGTAAAAATCTGATTAGAACAATAATAATTTATTGCATGTGAACAATCCAGTTACCAACAAAGAACGCCTAGAAAGACGCTAAACATGCCACAAATTCTGCAATAAAATTAACTCCAAAGGTTCACTATCAGCAAAAAGTTATGACCAATGTTCTAAATTGCAGTCCTTGAGCGCTACCAAGATAACGATTTTTAAGAATAAGGGCGCATGTTGTCAATTGAAGAACTCATTTCAAGCCGAACGAGTAACTGAGGAGACGTTTTTAATGGTCGCTAAATCATCACCGACGACTGGAGATAGCTAAAATTTTCCTAGTTTAAGACAGTACTCATTTATTATAACTATGTACGATTCGGGTATTTATTTAAGATCAGATTTAGTTAACCTACTGTTTTATCTACCTGATTGCTGTCGAAGTGCGCAGCCATTTGTTGGTAGACAAGAGAGGCGTGCATTTCGAGGTTCATTTGCGCTCGAAGCCCTACGAGACAGCTTTCTTCCAAGACATACTTGTTTGCACTATCCCCGGGCGTGTCATTGTCTAGATGAGACAGACGAATATAACAAGCAAATTAAAACGCTATTAAATGTATGTATACGTAAATACATCGAAGCAACCATCCGGTGCTTGGACATAACTGTGTACTACTATATATTATATATTATAATGGACATTATACACCAACTTTCAGTTTGGCTTTTTTGTTTCAGACTTTTCGTTTTGATCAGTCCCCAATTACTGACGCCGAAATATGTCTGCAGATGCATAACACCGCCATGCCATTATTCGTAGAAGCTGGCCATAGTTCCTTGATCAACGGCGTTATATCACTGTAATACTAGTAACGAAATCGAACACATACATGTCTTAGCAATGCTCTTTACCCAAGGAATAATAAATTGCAATCTCCGATGATAATCGATCTCAACAATGGAGTATTTATGGACCAAAAGTTTATCGATTTCTGAAAGGCCGTCAGGCCAAATCGAACATTTCGAGCCAAAGCATCGCTTTCAATCGAAACTTGCCTCGACTTACCTACTGCCCTAGCTGAACGCCTGACCACCTTCTCCTTCTGTGACGCCTCATTTTTCCCGCCAAGCTCTCCAAACCATACAGATGAAGCTGCCAAGGCAACCAATCATTTCAATACATCCAACTTAGTTACATGACCAAAAATATTATTGCAGGTTATTTAATACGAATAGTTTTAATTTGTCTTAGCTACCTTCACCGTATGACTCATCCGTTTACGCTAATTTTGGACTCTTTATGAGCGAAATATATCGACTCAAACATGTTCGGTGTTTAATGGGCCGTTTTGTCAGCATCCTGTCACTAATTAGCGTTTCCATTATTTTAGCCACAAATCTCCGGAGCAAAAACATTCAGCAGCATTGGAGGGACGTATTTCGCTTTATCGCGATATTATTTTGTTTTCGTAAATACCAGAGCTATACGGGTTCATCGTAGGGCAGTATGACGCCAGTATCAAGCCGATCGAGAAGAAACAGGAGAAAAGCTGGGAGAGAGCAACCAAAGGAGCCTGATTCTGTGAGTCAGCCTCAGTCGGGACAACGACTTGGTGACTCAATCAGAGAACACATCGCTGGCCAGCCTTTGTAAACGGAGATCTCATCCGCTTGCTATCATACATCTATTGCAGTGTTCATTACGGCGGCTCTGCTACTATCGACCGCCATTTGACCTCTTTTGCTGTCTCAGCATGGAGGACTCGGATCTCTAGTCTTGTCATCTTATCAGCCTATCAGCGATTTTGCTATGGCAGACTCGCTTAGAGAGCACACACGTAAGGGATTCGCTCTCAATGCATTATACGGAGACTCCATTTGTAGAGCAAGTGAGAACATATATAGCTTAAATTCGAGTAATTTTTCGATCGAATCATAACTGAAACGACGAAATACTATATTCAGGAAAAAGCGTAGTTGACTACGATATCGAGCATACGCAAAACTGACTTATCTTAAATCAGACTGAACACACGACAGACCACATCCTGAAGAAGAAGTTTCTGCAAGTACATATTAAGCATATTTAAACCTTTTTTTGTATTTCACTTCCTTCATTATGAACAGTAAAAATGCACTATGGCGACCTCTGGCGTCTAAGCTTTAGAAACGGAAATTAACGGCTTGGGCTTTGAGAGGCACATGTATGCTATGCAAATATACGACCGAAAACATTGTACTGCAATATAAACTGGCATAATGGTTTCAAATCAGAGTTACTTTGTTCTTTTGTCTTAATTAATCTTGCGTCGTTTTAGTTTTACCCTTCGTGAAGCCGATCGTTTTTTACAGATGATAGAATCAGTGGCGTTAATAAACGCAAATGCTTGTGTTTAGATTAAATAAGTTCCACTGCGTTTGCTACTATTTTTGCAGATTCTCGAATAGCCATATTCATGTTACGAACCTGTCTTTTTATGCTGATGCGTCGCTTTTGCCAAAGGGACTTTCGGCTAAGAGCAGAACTGCATTACATTATTGAATCTCAGTAACCGTGTACCCCGACGAGATTTGCGACTGCGTAGATAAGCCACCGCATTCTCTAACTCGGCCAGTCAGTCTTCGATGGCTTCCTCGATTCATTTTGACAGCTAAAATATTAAATAACGGTTATGCAATAATAACTCCCGGATATAACATTATAGTTAGGTTACTGTTTGAACTGAAATCTATCTGTACAAAGATACCTCGCACATTAGTACAAAGCTGTACACGAAAAGTGAAACGTATCATGACCTTTTTAGTCAGCAGGTTCCGTGATGATAAAAACGATTCAGAATTCGACCTGACATCATTCTGCAGGGGGAGTCCGATTTAGATTATTTAGATAATTATTATTATATTTAGATTATTATTACCAGGACTCATCAATCATATATAAAATTAGCCCACGCTACTTTCCGTTCCAATTTCGCTGTTCCACAGACACTCATTTATAAGAGCTTACTTGCTGACTATCAGCTACCGCAAATATTCGAGTTATCTCTACGAGCCAATATCTGCCGATTCCACCTTCTTTACTTAGGGCTCTGTGGCTGCGCATAACGTCATCATCACCAATGTTCGATTTGTTGGCATTGCCTTTTACAGGAGATCCATTGTACCTGGTATTTGCCGGGAACGTGTAATAACTTCCCGTAGTTCGACTCGTTTTGCTGACAAGATGCTCGTGATAAGCAGCTGCCTGTTGAACTTTGAATGGCCACTTGCTCTCCGTCCTCTAGTTTTTGCTTTGCTATTTGCCAGCCCTAGCACATTCGTTAAGTATCATTGCACAAACGACCTAGATGGAACGAGATCTCGTTTAGGCCTAGTAAGCAGAAGACCAGGTATTTACGATGAAATGCTTCTAGTGGGCATGTAGAAGCCATTGACTTTCCTCCACGTGCAGGAAATACACTCGTAGGTCAACAAATCAGTCGTGTCTGTTTGCAGCGGACTCTCTCTAGAAATCATTACACTTCTAGACCGATAAAGTTGCACAGTTAGAGTCTGCGGCCTTTAGCATAAGTCGTTGTTAAGTTCAAAGTAAATGTTTCCTGAGCTAAGGTATCCGTTCTTCAAATGATCGTTAAGTACTCTTAAAAAAAAACTGTGGAGAAGGATTTTTTAACCTCTCAATTTAAATTATGACCAGCGAAGGAAAACCCAGGAAATTTCGCAAGAGTTACCATAGCCTGGTTGACCACCTTTACTTCTAATAAAGATCGACTTTCATCTAAGCCTTTTTGTCATGGACGCCGTGGTTTGGCTGTGAATAACCGAGAGACAAAGGTATTCATTATTTGATCAATTAAACGTTCCCCTAACAGTTAGTTCAATTAAGGCAATCACTACACAACGCTTTTGCTTGTCTAAGCAAACCCGGTAAACGTGTTAGTGAAAACATTTGCCGGAAAAACAGAAATACTTTCTATATTATATAATTGTATCTCGTATTGCAAAGTGCAAAGTTGCGATCTTCTTACGTGCGCGATAAGACTCCACGTCTGAGTATGCGCTTTCCAAAAGCGGCTTTAGACGTAGCTAACACTTGTAGCAACGGATGATCTCGCTCGTGGCGTGAATGCCACGTTTGCTGTGCAATAAAAACGCAAGACGCATCGTTGTATCAAAACTAATTTGTCCACTCGATTAGTTTCTTAATTGCTAGATTTTATTGTTCTCCAAGGTTGACATATGACGACGGACAGCAGCCGAGGATCGACATTCAGCAATGTGTACTTAGAATGTAGTTGCATATTCTTCTAATTTCTATGGATCTGAAAACTGTCAGAACGAAATGGCCAGCTAAGAAAGACCGTTAAAATTCGATAAACGGATCTATATGTGAATTTCTGTGCCGGACGACAGTCTTCTCGTTTTATCTAGGACTATTATGATTCCTGTCTGTGTAGAAAAAGTATACTAGAGTATAGCAGTGTGTTACTTCAATAGAGTATACGGGAAAAATATACTGGATTAGCTACCACAGCATCATGTGTGAATATTTATACTTTCTAAATATAATAGCCTTTTTAATATCCTTTCTTGTTAAGACCTCAAACCTCTATACGAAACCAATTCAAACATTTGACGAAACTCCGTGCCATTGGAAAAGGTTTATAAACTAAACTGACGAGAGTAGAACCTATTTCTTCAGCTGATCGATAGCAAGATTTGGTGGAGGGCCACTAAAAGCGCACCACTGGGTTGGTTCTATAAAAGGTCCTCGGTGGTCCAATATCGTACCACTGACAGCTAAGGGGCCTATGCTACTGTACAATATTTGGTCTCGTTTGAAAAATGCTGAAATAGGTTCAAGAAAGTACGTCAGAATCGTTCGATTTCTTGCCGATCCTTTTAAGATCAGGCTTGTAGTTTCAGTTTCAGTGAACGACCAAGCCATGTGGTACCACCGTTCAGTTAATTATTCTCACTCTGAATCATCTTCTCATATTCGATGGCCAAAAACATTCCTCGGAGTAGAAGAATACTAATGAAGTAGAGAAGAAGTGTTGGGTGCCACTGATCGGTATAGCTTAGAGTAGACCAACGGCTATAGTAAGACTGTCAGGAACGGCTCACTGTGTTTTGAATACTTTATGTAATGATGCGGCCAAGACGATAACACCAACATTCAATAGAACTGACTGACTTTGGAACGTCGCTTTGTTCAGTTGAGATCTTTTCTCTAATGGGTTACATGGACTACGTAACTGGCGCAGTACAATTCGCGCGTGCGCGAAACAACGCGAACGCAGTAGAGGATCACAACCCGTCAAAACAGCTGAGCATCAGCTGATGGCTTGAATCCCTCCCGGATTGGCTAACGTCGTAACGAGTTCGGTTTCGATCGGAAAACTCAGAAGCGTATGCGCCTACCTTATAGATGGGGCACCCACGGTTGGACTTATTTAGATAAACACACCCGCGGGTTACGACCGTTCGGCAAAATCTACAATACATGCTTCATATGCTAATAGCTTACTGTGGGGACTAGATCGTCATCCTCCTTTCGTGCACAACGCGTATATAAAATTCCTAGTTCTAGCTAATATGTAGAAAGTATCAAAATGAAAACCTTCTTACTCTGACGGGCTAATACAAAGGCGAACAGCAGGGGTACGATGCAAATGAAACGCTTCATCTCCACTTGTGGTTATTGTTGAACGAGAGACTCCGGAGTTCAGTGACGGTTCCCGACGATTGAATGCCAAGAGTGGTCGAGAATGATGGAGCTACACCTATCAGAGGCCACGAAAAGCTCGAAAGGGAAGCTGAGAGAGGGTGAACAAGCGGCTTGGGAAAGGGAAACTACAATTTCCCGACACAAGAAAATAAAAGATGAATGATGGGACTACCACTGCCACAAAGTCCCCTGATCGAAATTACCGATGCAAAACGTAGCTAGGAGAATCTCAGCACCCTAGCTATCATGCATATATATAATATTGTAACGAATTTCGTCAATTGACATTGGAATCAAAAACTGCCAGTGTTATTTGTTAGTTTCCGACCGTGTGGCTGATATTCGAAAAGCAATATATTGGTAATAAGACGAATCCATTTTTAGAGATAATGGGAGTTATATATAGGCCATGTAAACGTTAACTGCAATTTGTTGCGCCTATTGCTGGTATTAGGCTATTGACGTCTATCGAGGGCCTGTTTCTAGTCCGGCGCCGACCTGAACCGTAGGCGACGAGTGGCGGATTTTACTGTTATTTAGAAACCTAATCTTCATCAGCTAAGAGAAGCATCGTATACAAACGCGTAGTGATTACCTTTCATATACTTCGAATTAAACGACAATATCATCCCATGGCGTTGAGCCACGATAGTTATCCAAGCGTACAGGATACTGTCGACCTTTTGAGGTATCGGAAGTCCAGTTGAAAATTGATCTCGTGAAACATCTCACTTCCTTTTTGCCATAGGGAAAGACATTCGCTGCCGACTGTTTCACTGAACGTACTCTCCTGTATATGGGACATGGATAATCGATTGATGCATATAAAGCTTTAATCACAAGTGGCGAAAATATATGAAAATGCCATTTTTTTAACTTAAGAATGGATGCAAGATTTTTCTAAAGTGATGCAGGTCTCGTCTGAAACTGCCACAATTCAATCGCGACGAGCTCTACTTGAGTTAGGAAGTACAGGTACGTTCGCTTCACAGAATACTACGTTACCTAGAATACTGAAGACGAAGGTAGCTATTTTGAGCGGCTTTCTACCGGCCAAATTCACTTGCAAAAGTCAAATAATGAGTTAATAATTTTTTCACTGTCTTTTTTCAAATAAAAAATTGTTTACCACTTTGCTAGATAATAGTACATTTACCTCGAGGAATCGAAAACTCACCACAATACAAAAAATCCAGTCAAATATCGGCTGTATTCTGGACTGTTTTTTCGACGCATATTTTCCTTTTGCTTACACAATCCATACAACAGTATTCATTATCCATTTATTCAAATGTATACAAGTGGATGACCATAGGTCAACGCGTACATTTGCATAGGACACAACTGCGTACCGTGGCTAACGTAAGAGATTTCCATTGCGCATTATTCGCTAATATTCTCGTAACCCGAATGTAATGTTTGAGCAATGTTAAAAAGTCGTGGGGCTGAATTTTTCACAGCTTCATTAGCAAGTCGACAAGTTCCCTTAAGTCGATTAAATAACGAAATAAGATAATAGCAATTAACAACGTACAGCTAAAAATATACCAAATTTACGCATGTGTCTCGTCTACGCGTTTTGGTCGATCCCAGAGTTTTTTTTTCGTAGTTCGCGCAGACATTCGAATATATAAAACTAGAAATTGTTTAAGAATTGTTTTTTTTTATTTTCTTACTATTTTATGTAAAATTTGACTACAGAAAGAGCAACGCCGTGAGTATAGCAAAAATATTGTATTTTACCTACGTATCAAATATTATAAATGTTTATTACAGAAATGACATTTTAGGCGGAGTAAAACGAACAGCTCTGATAGCAGAAGTGCAGTCACGTAAAATCCATAGAAGCGTGATCATGTCCAAGAATGAATAATGCTTGTTACACTTCAACGAAATTGTGCCCATCAAAAACGATAAGTCGAAATGAGCATGTTTCGTCGGCGAATACACACATACTATACTATTATTACTTGTATTATCCATGGAATGCGGGTTAGCATTCGATTTTAATTGATTGCTAAAATGATAAAGGTCGATAGTTGTCCATCGTGACAGCTTACTTGTGATTTAACTGAAGAGGCCGCAATAATTTTTGCTGTTGGCTGAAGGAATGCATATTGGCATGTATCGGCGGCACTTACGTAAATAACACGAATGTTCACAAAAATGGGTAATTAGGAAACTATAGTATATTTCATAAACATACAGAGAACATGTAAGTACTACAATACTATAAGCCAGATTTAATTTTTGACTGAAAATACAGTATACAATTTAAATATACCAATTCTAAGTACACGGTTTGTGATGTAGGATGCAGTACTTATGAACTGAATGATTATTATTTTTGCAGTAAAGTAGGAATAGCTTTTTACTCGTAGACAAACTTGTCATCGTCACTGCGGTTTTTCATTTAAATGCAATCGAATGTATTCGGTTTCGCCATTTTAACATATATTAACATAACATAAGCCAATAATTAGATGCTTTGTAGCATTTGCTACGCTCCATGATACGATGGCAGGCGTAAGTATGGCCAAGTTCTCTTACACAGTATGTGTTTATTCACATTGCCAATGGGTGACCGCGTTCTGTGGCTTCATCCACACTTGAACATGAACTTTTGCGGTACATTGACGGCTGGCCGCCGACGCCTTCACCTTACAGCGCTGCCGGTCGAACACGCCCTTCAGAGGACAGCCGGAAGGACCAACCCGAAGTTTAAGTGTGTAAAGCGTTCCAGCGACAAGCTAAAAGTCATCAAACGAAAATATCTGTGTTAGAAATTTTGAAGTAGAAACTTCGGGATAGCACAATAACAAGGAAGACCATACATGTACATGCACTATTAAGTTCCAGTAATGGTATGACCCTGTGTCAATCATGCCCATCTTCTATTGAAAATTAACTGTTACTGGCCCATCTTTAACCGTTTTTTGTTTGCGGCTATCTTTGTCAGCTATCTCAAGGGGAAACGGGTCCGCAACTTCCCTAACTTTATTTGCATATTAGACGCCCGAAAAGCCAAATCACTTTACACCGTAAACAAACGTTTTCTAGAAAGAAACACCATGTTCGATTCCACGTTAAACATGTGTAATATCAAGATTTTCTCTTCTGTAAATCTAATTTCTTCCTTCTTACGTAACTACCTAAAATCCAGGCAACATTATATTAGGATGTCAATCGCTTATTTAAAATAGCTTATTTTCTCCTTGGACTTACGTTAAAAAATATAAGGACATTACAATATATGATGATTCGTATACTTTAATATGAAACTAATTTGAAACGGTACTGTTTTTCGTCAAATCAAACCTACAAAAAAGGAACCTAATAAAACGATCGTTAGAGCTGTTTTCAGGACGGTCCGGGCATAAACCTACAGATAAACTCCTGCTTACTTAAACGTATTATAGGATTTCTCACTCAAAAAAAATTGCCTCGGTGCACGTATATATGATCTAAAAGAACTGGCCTGAAAAAGAAATTGAGAAAATATGATCAACACTCGAACCACGGATGAAGGGGTCAACCATTTCGGGCGTTAAATGCCAACGTTATCGCTCATCACTTCCAGTCACTTAATGGAAAAAGCATTCGGCGCTCTTAATGATAGTGAACCTTAACGGGTATTACACGATGTACGCAGAAGTTTGCAGGACCTTGCCTTTCTGCAGCACCACTGAAGCATCTAAACTACTTAAAGAACCTTCACCCTCAGCAACAGGAAGATGCGTATAGCATAGACACAAGTAGTTTAAATAGATTGTTTAATTGTATTGCGCCATGATCGGAACTCCAGAACCAGGGAATGAAAAGCAGTCTTAGGCACATGTTAACATTGTTGACGTCGTTGGATATTTACCTAAATTCCCATCCTAACTACTTTTTACTCGTATTTTTCTCCCATGATTTTACTTTCTATCAATAATAAATAGTTTATTATCGAAGTGCTATTTATAAAAATATATTGATAAAATAGAACTTTAGTAATTTGTATCATTTCTAAATTTGCTTTACTCCCTTATAATGTAATTAAAATTAGCCAAATATCAGCCAAGATATATATTTACTGGCCTCCAAATCGTCGTACATCATATCTTATAAAATTGATATTCAGTGCAAGTAGAGTGGCACACGAGTGATGCGAGAATAATATAACGTGACAATAAAGTACTGGTACCTAGAGCTAATGTCGATATCCGAATTTTACAATAGGCTTAATTTCGCTCATTTTAGAGCACAAGTCTAAGCAGCTATTCCCTATATGCGAAAAATTAGCTTAGACATGTTGTCTTTATTTTCCACATCCTTCAACTTTAGTGACTAACCCAAAACGACCTTAGATGGGATGGATGCTAGATATAAATACGTTTAAGAGATTTTTGCTGCTTACTGGAAAATCATTTTCAATTACTTGCTTTCTATGTGATCCATCGCCATTAGAATTCTTTGGCGGAGCCACTGGAATGGAACCACTTAGAATTGGGTTCGCATACATGCGGTTTGACTAATTAATTAATAAAGCTAATTAATAAATAAATTAATAAATCTGCAGTTAAATAAAGGTGCCATAAAAAGAAAACATTTCACATCCCATTTAGTGCCCAAGGAAAAAAGCTGCCTGCCGAACGCCCAGATTGGTGAATAACTGCTTTTCTTATTGAGGGCGAATGACCCTGGTCTACGGGTCACTTGGTGTGAAACGAAACATCCCAAGTCTAGTATGTTCTGGAGTTAGATGAAAGGATCTTAAGGTGTTTTAGGTCACTTCTTTACCTTATTGGTTAAAATGACGGACACCCATTTTGTATCGTAGTGCTAACAGCGTCTTTGTAAAAGCAAGAAAAAACGTTTATCTAATATCCTATCGATACCGATCTTCATCAATATAGTCGGATAACGTGACCCCTCCATAACATCGAGATATGAACAAGAAAGAACACTGCTATGATTCCAGTACGAATTTGCACTGCTATTGACGATAGCGCATGCCATACTTGAGGTATCTATTCCTACTGAGATCTCCGTTCGACTCACACTGGAAGCCTAGCTCATATTGGCACCTGCAAGGATTCATCACAGCAATATGACAAATGCAGCACGGATTCACTACGTTGGAAGTAAAGCTTAATTTAATTAAAATGAGTGCAAGTTTTTCAATCAGACCTTTTTCGTGCACCGCTTAATTGATTCATGCGCCACATAGATAGGCAGGTCGGATACATACATCGGCGATTAAAGTCTTAGACATACATACTGAAAGTATCCTAATTCATAACAAATTTTAGTATCAACTCAGTCATGTTACCCTTACTCCTCGATAACATAAATAAACAATTATATTTAGCCTGTATGTTTTTAGGTCCTCTAGCTTGCATATTCAGATATAATTGTTATTAGTTACTCTGAAACTAATCGGGGTAATTGTCGAGTATGAAGCGGATTCGGATATTTTGCATAAGCCTGAAACCAGGTACACCTTGTACACGAACTGGCTGCTTCCTCTTACATATCTGTGTTTTATGGGTCACAATCGTTAACTTATTTCCTCTATTAAGCTTCCTTGTAGTAGAGACCTGTTGGTAGATATCTATCAACGAAATATTCGTATGTTTGTACGTTCGTCATCGAGATTATCCTGTATATCGATATCAGCCATTTTTTATAATACGATTATGACTATATACCTTGTTTTTGAGTTGCATCGCTCTGCTGAAGTGTACGTGACAATGCAAACGACATAGCTGAAAACGTCTGATACTGATCAAATGGGCACCGGTATCGGATCACCAAAGCTAACCTATATTAACGTGAACACTGTCGTACAATAACAATAACAACCGATATCAAACAGTTGCTTTAATCGCTTTAAGAATACCTCACAGTTGCTTTGTAACAGTCAATGTACCCGACAAGTTCTCTTATCGATGAGTCAAGTGCTTCAATTAAGGCCAAAAAAATACTATTTTTATAATTAATTTCACTGTCAGTTTCCACATCTTTTCAACACATCGCAGTAGCACCACTATTGTGGGCGTCTACATTTAAGCCGTTTCTCTCCAGAAACAAATTATTCTGAAAAAAAGAAATTTTTTTCCAAGCGGGTTACTAAAATCTTGCGCAGTTTTATATCAACTTTAATTACCTGATTTTCAGCAGAGATGATACTTTCCAAAGCGTCAAAATAGCCATCCTCCAGAGTATCTCCAGGATGATTCTCTACAGCGTAATGAGCCACTTCATTGATGAGAGCATTCTCAACGGCAACCTCCTCAGGTGCCCCATGCAACTTGCGGGTTTCAGCCAGCACAAGCAACGCCGCAGCGATCACTAACCATAACATATGCATTCTGCGCTTGAGCTGCCCCAAATAAATGGTAAAACAAACAAAAATGGACATTAACAATAGAACAGGCGACGGATCTCTCAGCAATAATAATAGTAGTCGCTTTTAGCGCTTTGTTTTCGTTATTTGCAAACCGACGCAATACTACTACGCCAATTCACACAGGCGACGTCTGGACTCAGCATGCACGAACCTATGATTTATTCGCTATTTTCAGTCAGTCGCATCATCTTCATTGATTGCCTATCCACTGAATGTTGATAATTATAATGACGGTGATAATGATAATGGCGGTTGGTGAAAGAAGTGCTCCGAAAAAAACATGGCGCGAATAGACAACGCTTTTAAAGGAAATAAATGGCGAAGTAAAACTGTACGATTCACAGTTTGCTCCCTAAAAAGTTGACGTGTTGCAATTGGTTAGATTTTATTTTGTTTATAATAAGATTATGTTAATTTCGACATTAGGTGTGGTGTGTTTTTCAGGTTAATGAATTGTGAGGAAAACGTAATAACAATGAGGAAAAAACCGTTTGGAGCGTGACATAATATAATATAAAGAACAGCACCTCTTTTCTTTTGGAGACAATAATAATAACATTGAGAAAAATGTAGACGAAGTACATTTTTCCCAGGTTCTAAATGCCAGTTATAGACAGCAATATCAGCTCATACATACAGTACGATTGTGTAGTCTGCGCCTTTATAAATCTCTCAGAGAAGACCAACAAGGCCGCCTTGGCAGAATTGAAAGGTGATTCCAAAGAGTACTTTGGAAAACTTTACCTATCTCTTAGACACGTAGATATTTACGTTTTTCAATCGCTAAACCGAAATTCGGATCAGTTGTGGGAGTAGGTGCGTTTTATTATACAATCAGTGTAGACCTGCTATTATCTAAATTACAACGTTGTTAATTCGTCCCATTTTATTGTAAAACTTTTTTATCACGCTAAAACAGATAGCTCAGTGATATTCATAACGCCATCGTTCTGTAATAAATTAAAAAATATTATTATTATTATTACTCATATTGAATTTAGAGATTACTAAACACCAAGCGATCAGTCAGATACTGCTGAGATGCCTATGCTACGGGCTTGCAGACGTACTACATATGCTTTTACGCAACATATATTGAAATTGATATAAAGTTCGACCCCGCGACAATTCGGCTTTTCTGCTGTTTGTTGACAATAGATTATACATTTCTCAAATTGGGTGAACCACGTGTGATTACTTCATAGCGCAATTTCTTTTATCTATCGTTGTAGTTCACTTTCTATCGGGGTTCCTTACATTGGACATGTCAGCGACCTAATGTAACCTGTTTAGGCTAGTCAAATTACTGTTGTACTGCCATGTACATACGCTACACTGAGCCTCTAGACTACTAGCGAAATTTGCTGCCTGAGTCCTAACACCTTGAATATCGGTATCTGTCATAATTTACCATTAAAATATCAAGTCGCCTTAGTTGTTGATTTTGCCTCTCTAATCATTTATAAGTGAGTTACACTATACTTAAGGCAAATTGTTCTGAATATGCTATTTTTAACTTATGATTTCCTGTTACATTAGGTTATCACCGCTGTCACGGATTGAGACTAAAAATTATTATTGATAGAAACTATTATCACATCTAAACTATCACTGCTGAACATTATTGTCATTAAAGTTGACGTTCGACCATATTATTGCACACCCATACGTAAACTGTCGACTTTTTGAGTAGATTAAGTTTTGAAAATTTAGATTATCGTGTGGCAGACTACAATAACGACTTTTTTGGTTTTTTTGGTTAAGTTTAAATTTTGCCGCCGCAACCCAATCGCCGGCTAACGCAGGCCGAGTAAAACAAATATGGCTGCACGCACGGCGCTGAAAAGAAAGTCGCATCCGAAAACGAATACCATCGTTCTAAACTTATGGAAATGGTTGTATGTCTGAAGTTTTGAAAGTGTTTCTGAACTCCGGTTCGAGGTGAGGCCAGCTGCTACTATCGTTTACCATAAGCCTTAGTCGTAATTCACACCCATAGCTATTAGCATTGATTCAATGTGGTTGATTATTCGAGTTTCAATGTTTGGGTGCTTTATGGGGTGAAGTAAGCTACAATAGCATTTTAAACGATTTTAAGCTAGGATAAATAAAATATTTTTTACAGTCAAAAATAATGCGAAGAACTCTAGAACGAACTTTCATAAGTAATTGCTTCGACTGAATTAGTTAGTAGAGAGGGAAATTGTACGTCTTTTTAGAAAAATGCTTGTTCGATTTTTATGCTATTAAGATAACAACTAACTACGCACCTGGTATAGATTTACATTTACTTTTGACAAATGTAAATTTATATATATATATATATAGCGAATTCTACAAATTTAACGGGTGGTTTTAAGTGAATTTAAAGTTCGATTTTTTTTATTTACCTTCTGCGTAAGAATTAGAAAAAACTGATTAATCAGACCAATTTTGATGAATTATTTTGTGGGTAACCCGTTGCTTTTGACAACCAAGTTTATTCGGAACGAGTATCATGCTGAACTTCTACGTGTGTTAGAAAAGCAGAACTAAAAATACTTAGCTTCTTCCCTTTGGTAGCGAAGGAATTCCTTTTAAGAAAAGGCTTTAATTATTGTATTTCATTATAATTGACCTGTCCGCTTGGCAAAAGGTTGTTCATACTTGCTTCACAGATGTTTAGGATGTCAATGCATTTAGAAATATTATAGAATTGAATTTAGATCGAGAACAACAATCAAACCAAGCTTTATTTCCAGAAGTTTGCTGCGCTTAGTTAGAAATTTCGTTTTTAAAGTTTTTTTTTTTCTTTCATTTTGTCTGTGTTGAGCCATCCCACCTATCATATGGGTCAAGTGCACTCGATTCAAAACAAATCATTTAACAAGTGACTTTTTTCATATAGAAGTTGTTTCTTTCTTCGTTTGAAGAAACAACTAGCTATAGCTAGTTTTGTAATATAGTACGGTGTAGCATCAGAAGTTTTTACAACACTTAGGAAGTGTCGAGTGCGAAATATTAAATGACCTGCAACAAGGCGTATTCGAAAATCGAATGGCTTTCAGAGGAATGGCATTCAATTTGAAACGACGGCTTTTCCTATTCACTCATTGGATGTCGTCAATGTTTTTCGATTTGTTGTTTTTTTTCTAGATGAGCAGCAGCGATGGCGCGGGCAGCGGGAGTAGTAGTAGCTGTTCAGACGATGAATCGTTTGTGGGATTGGCGGTCGCGAGGTCCCGCCGTGGAAATGCCGGTGCTAAAATGGCGAAGCTTCTCAACGCTGAAGAGGAGGACGAATTCTACAAGACCAGCTATGGAGGATTTAATGTTTGTATCATTTAATTTGCTTCACGTTTTCATGTTTATTAACGATGGCCATACGCAAGAAGCTTATGCGCTTATATGATATCAAAGTTTGCCTTTGTTAATGACGTTTTGATATTGACTCCGCGACTATATTCATATATTGACCCATTCAGCATCGTAATGAATTTCTAGTTGACAGAATCTAAATAGTTGATCAATGTTGTTAAATGATGTATTTTTACTGAGAGCATCGGACAAACCTATCGTTCTAGGATCCTTCGTTTTAATTTTATTCAGAGTGGAATGGAGTTAAGTCACAATTTCATGAAAAGAAGAATGAGAAGGAAAACGGGGGCCAGTTCTACAAAATACTTGATATCTTGATTATGAATCATATATGAGGCCACATATTCATCTTACACCATAGTCGTGCTAATTTCTCCATTTAAATATTTTATTTCTTTAATTATGTTATTGGAATGGATTTGATTATCTGTTTTCGTTCTCAATAGGAAGAGGAGAACGATCAAGATTTCGGCTCTGATGATGCGTCCGGTTCAGAGGACGAAGTGGATTCCGATTTTGATATAGACGAGAACGATGACGTACTTAGCGAACATGAAGACGAGGATGGCAGGCCAGGCCGAAAAAGGAAGACCGCTACCATTACGAAGTCGTACAAAGATCCAAAGGGTAAGTGCATCTGGATTAACTCCATGCATAACCAGTTTTTGCGCAAATCAGCAGCGAATCGTACTTGAAAACTGATGACAGCTTATGATGATAGCTTTTAATTAATTTCGCCAGATATCGTACCCTATTGCATCTAAATAATAAGAGATTTGGCGTTGTCCTATATCACACAAAGTAACACGTATAATTTCCATTAAATAGATCTCCTTTTGGTGATCAACATAATAGCTTATAGTTACTCTATTGTTGTTATTATTTCAATATTAGTAAGTCTCGCATTCGGTTAATGGTATTTTAATTCTGTTGTGGGATCTTGGTTGCAGCGAGAAAATCGACACCACGGACTCCTAGGCCCAAAAGGCCTTGCCTTGAGAGAGACAGTGGAGGTGACACATTTGACGTATCTGGTGCCTCCCTTGAACGAAAGTCGAAACGAAAATCAACACAAGCGAAGAGTGAGGCTGTTGAGGCACGTCGACGGGCTGAAGCAGCTGAAGCTAGACGACGAAGGCATTATAAGGTTCGACGCGAAGATGAGCCTGAAATGACTCAAGAAGAACTTCTGGAGGAGGCAAAGCAGACTGAAATTGAGAATCTGAAATCTCTAGAAAGGTGAGCAAATCGTGTCACGACTTTTTTGTTGTCTGTGTCAACAAAGCAATAGAGACATTTCTACAAGACTACGAGTCATATATTTATCTTATTGGATAAACATTCGATATCTTTGTAACTAGTCCCGTTGTAGCACAGCATTATTACGATTCGGCTGAGCAATATTTGCTTGTTAATTAGTTGAAGAACTTTGCTTTTTTGACGAGAATCCAATAAAATCTATAAAAAGGTGTGCTGCATGTTGTTAATCATGGTTGTACCTTTCAGATACCAGCAACTGGAGCAAGAAAAGAAGTCGGTGCGAACGAAGCAACCAATGAAAGGTCCTATGATTCGATTCCACTCGCTATCGATGCCATTGCTCGAAGAGGTAGACGCACCAGCCGGCGATCCTGTCCCGTCTATTGATGGAAAGGGTGAACTTCGTGTTGCCACTGTCGGCCGCTGTATGCGGAACCTCGTTACATTCCCTGATGAAGCCACACTCAAAAAGCTTTTCCCGCAGACCAAGCCGAAACCTGCCACCAAAAACTTCTGCCCGATCTCTCGTCAGCCGGCTCGCTATTTCGATCCAGTCACGCATATTGCATATGCTAATTTACAGGGCTATAGGGTACTACGTGAAGCATACTACAACCAGCTTGAAAGTAAGGGTGATATGCGTCAACCAGAGGTAGCTGCCTGGATCGAGTGGCGTCGAAGAACGAAAGCCGCTAGCCAACAGCAGGCCGCAGCCTTACGACAGGTACGAGGTCTTGCCTCGGCTATACTCAGTATTCGCACGAGTAGTGAGCGGCATTATTGATATATATATACTCATTGTATCAATATATATATTCGTATACAGGCTTGAAACATGTATAATCGATAAATTGATTAGTTATTCCAACAAGTTGACATGTATCCTTCATTTTTGCTCGTTTTTTTTCATTATTTGTTTATTTTGTGTTTCCGTAATCTAGAAACAAGCTGCCGCGGCTCAAGCAGCTGCACTGGCTGCGGCCCAACAACAGAACGCCTTACAGGCGGCTCAGCAGCTGGGTGTACCTAAAGGTACTGTGGCCAGTTTCGCCACGGTCAAAACTGTCGCTCAAACAACCGCTGCTGCAGGCCACATTAAACCATCAGCTGCTTCGCTCAAAACCTCGGCTGGTACCGTCAAACCCGCAGCTGCAGCATTAGCGGCAGCTGGAACTCTTAAACCTGGTACCCTCAGTGGCTTCATGACCCGGCCGACGGGATCTGGCAGTGCTGTGCGACCCACCGCAATTGCGGTGAAACCTTCGGCGCTTGCCGGCACCACAGGCCCAAAGCCGCTCGCAGCTGCAGGTTCAAGTCTTCGTCCAGCGATTACAACGATCCGACCCGTGGTTGCCACTGTGAAGCCAACAGCGGCAGCGGGTCCCGGCGTCGTTCAGCAGATACAACAAGTGAGAAACGTAATAACCCCCGTTTTTTTTCATTTATCTTTTCCTTGGTCATTAGTACTCAACCTATTATCTATGTTTCGCCTACAGCATGTGTAGAATGCCTTAAACGTCTTGTGTAGCCAAAAATTAAGACTGACAGTTAGCGATAAAGGGTATATGAGCGTCTGTCATCTGTGCTTCCTTTTTTTTCTTAACTGCACGGCAACTTTCAAATTATACAGCAGCTATTATGCTTACAATAGCACCCTTGTGTCCTTAAAATTCTATGCCTTCGTAACCTGTTGATGTGACGATGTGATATTTTAGCTAATTTCGCTCAAATTCACTCCCCGTTTCAATGGAAAGCCTACATAGCATATACAAAATTATGAGTTAATATCGGGGATTAAGGTTTGGCTCACATGAAGTAGATAGCGGGATCTGCTAAAGAAAGATAGGGAAAATATACGCTCAACTTAAAATCATTTAACAGTTTAGCTATTGCACTAAACGCCCGGATAGTTCTTTACATATGTCCCTAAGCAGAGATACATCGTAATGTTGCATTTGGTTCAAGTTCACGCATGTTCTCGATAGTATATAGCAATAATACGCCTTGCACCAGTTGGTGGGTGCAGCGGGGTCTGGAGTAGATCGTCGAGTGCTCGTGTTTCTTTTTATTTTCTTGTTCGCTCGCCCGCTGCGATTCACTTACGAATGATTTTACTAATACGCAGCTTGGGGGTCAACAGTTGGTCCAGCAGCAACTGCAGAAGCCGATTGCGACCGTCCAGCCAGTTCAGCAACACCATATTGTTCAACAACAGATTCAGCATCATCAAGTACATCAGATTCAACACCAGCAACACACAGTGCACCAAGTGCAGCAGCAGCAGCTGCAGCAACAGCAGCTTCAACACCAACGGCTGCAGGCCGCGGTTCAGCCACCAGCCACTCAACACCAATAAAAAAAGCTGTACACCTTGAATTGCCTGGAAGGATACTTTTTCATAGACACGACAAGCAGCAATAGCAGTTGAAACGTTTCAGTTGCGCGAAGCTGCAGGTCGATACTTAAATAAGCAATGACGTGAAATGCAGTACGGCCCCGACGCAAAGAAACTCGGGGAAAGAATAAGCTGGGTCTGGACGTAAAAACTGTTTATGTAGTTATTGAGAAATTCGCAAATTCTAAGTCTTGCTTTGTTGAGGAGCATCTGGTTAATGAAATACGATAATGTAAGTATTTACCGTATTGCAACATCCTATCCCATACTGTGAGAATCTTACGTACAACATTAGTGAATATTTCTACTGTTATACTTTAGCCTGTATTCCGATTTGTTTAGGTAATAACCAGCGACTGGTGTATGTGATGGTAAATAAAGCGCACTAATTCTACATGTAAATGTGAAAAGCGCATTTCCCGATTTTAGATAGCCTTGAGTACTTCGATTGCCTATCTAAATACCAGCTTTATACATTATTATTGTATTTGTTGACAAAATATTGCAGCAATTATATTTATTATATAGTTTTATGCTCATCGCATATCGGACGGAATAAGCAGGACAACGTACAACGGAAGGGGTGGAATTCTTTTATTATCACAATGAATACGTAGATTTCTGTGTATAACCAGAAATTCTTTATTGATTGGTATACTAGTATTCATAATGATATTAATTATAGCGTATATAATTAAATGTTGACCGCAGTTGCATTCATTACTTTATTTGTTCGTCTGTGTGATTTATATAAACATATCGATCTTCAGTAGAAATCATATTTTACTTTACAGTTAACCTAAACGGCAGCAGCAGAACAGGTGTCAGACATAAACAAATGATCGAACGCTCTCCTATGATTGACGGATGTTTATGGTAATGCCATCGTCTTATTTTCCAATGGCTCGTCGCATTCGGTCTTATACTCCTTGTGTTAAGGCAGCACTATAATTTGCATTACTGCAAATAACTCCGAAGCAACAACGAGTCCATATTTACAGAGCGTTGCCATTTTTAGGAGGTTTCGTGTCAAGACACCGATCGGCCGTCATTATTACCATTAGATTATGGTATGTTTTCCTATTAGATGAAGCGAGCCGCATCACGGTTCCCTATTTTAGCTGATCCTCGTTGTTCATAAGCCACTACTATAATAAGTTGGTTGTTAATTATGAGTTGTCTTGGATGAGTAAAACAGGTCATCGCGCAATTATTGCATATTCTTGGATAACTGCGAATTGCTGGAGGACGACAGACATCGGCGTATCTTCCTTTAGGTGGTGGAAGAAATTGCTTGCATCCCACCGCCGTCATACACGTGAATAATATGTTGAACTGCTTAGTCTTTCTTTGAACTTGTTTATGCTAATGCTATGTGCGTGTTTGAATATTTCTTTGAGCGTGTGCGTGCGCGCGTGTGTGTGTATGTTTATGTATGATGGAACGTGTGTCGTACGCAGGTAAAAGTAGTGCTTATAATACGCTTTTTCCACCTGCAAGATCAAAATTGTAATCGAGCCGTCCAATTGGGTTGTGGTTCCGTTTAGCTGCAAAAGCCAATTAATTCAAAGCTGATCGATTGGATAGTGGCGCTCAACAAGTCTTGACGTTTTACATCAATTAATAATGATTATTGATGCTTGCTTTACTGAATAATTGATTGATTAGCGTTGTATCCTCTAGTCTATGCGTAAATGAGCCAGTTCCGGATGGGCAAGGTCCTTAGGGCTAAGCAATGTATAGCGTACATGGGAAGGGCTTGTTGATCGGTAGGTGTTGTTTGAACTCCCAGTAGTCGTGGGAACTTTCGAGGCGTCGTCCATCGCTTCCTCGTCAGGTGTCCTCAGAACGGTATTGGCCTTAATCCACCTGAAATGTCCAGACGAAAATCAAAGAACATAAACAAGTATACGGACATAGATGCAATGCATACGTAATTCATATGATATCAGCTAGAGTCGCGATTTTGAGATTGAATCTAAATATTTCGTTTTGTTTGTCTTGGTGCTTTGTTTGTTGCCAAGTCGTCTTCTTCTTCATGTTGTCTTTTTCCTTGTCTACCTTCACTCATTCTGCCTTTTTTGATTCTTGATTTTCCATCAAGGAGGCTGTTGTCTACGAACGAGGCAATGTCCTATTTCTGTGATTCGATGGTTGTGGGGCTTACGTTTTGCTGCCCGGCCGCAGACGGTCGAACGACTGCTCTCCGACACTGGCGAGAGGCTGCCTCTGACTGGCGGGGTTATGGAAGTTTATTATTGTTCTTGTTGTAGATGTTGAATGTTCTTGTTGTAGTTATTGTTGGGGTGTGAGATTGTTGTTAGCCTGAGATTAAAAGCAGGTTCGGTTAGGGCAGGAGGACTGAAATGGATGAAAGGCGTTCTTTCTTTCATGCGTGGGAATCAGCAGCAGCAGCAACGTTTTGTTGTACTCTCGAGTTCTTTCTCTTTCTATCTTATTCTGACAGTCTGTTAGCAGTCAGGGAGTCTCGGAGTGTTCTCCTGCCTCGAACTAGAAGCTTCATTCATAGCTGCGCTAGGCTGGCTCTAGGCTAATAGTAGAAGACGTTTTGCTGCGAGCTGTGGGTGGATGCTGTTTGCGGTTTAGCATAGTCTGGTAGCGTCAACAGCAACATCAGCAGTAGCCGCAGCGGCTGTACTAGTGGAAGTTACGGTAGAAGAAGCCTAAAACCAGCTGCTTTAGACAATTGGGCCAGTAGGCTCTCTGTTTTCTTTGCCCGCTGCCGAAATGGCCTCGTATGCCCTTTCTGTAGCAGGTTGCTGTTCGGTCTGGCGTACAGCGTATTTTAGTCTAGCGAACACTGAATGTAGCCAACACTGAGAGCCTGCCGCTCAGCGACTCACACGCTAGTCGAACGGCGGGACAACGAGGACGCGTACCTGTGGATGAGCAGGAACGCCACGATGAGGACAAAGATGAACGCGCCTAGGGCAGCGAACACCACCGCCAACTGAGGGAGGTCTGGGGTCAACATCAGCAACAGCGGAAGATGAAGGTAAGGCACGTAACGAAACGCACAGGAATGAAAAAAAGAACAAGAAATGCACGTTGCTATCAATTAGTGGTTATTTAGAACGACGCAAAAACCGAAGCAAAAATTGCCATGTAACTTCCTGTTGCATCTTTTGACCATCTTTGAATTGTAGTTTACCTCTAGTATGCTATGAAATATTATTAGCAGTGTAATTTGTAAATTTAACATGGCATTATAGATGAAACATGCAAAAGTGGCTACTTCCCTTGCAGCAATAAGGAGGAATATGAAAGAAGAAGCTATATGGGATAACTAAGCAATCAAGGATTCGAAACTGTGGGCCGTCAACTAGCTACGGTAAATAAAAAACACCATTCAACGACACTTTCACGTACCGGGATCTCCCCAAGGCTGGTCGTTGGGGACATGACCTCCAACCCAATCTATTGTTCCCACTTGTAAAAGTTTCAGGTTTCCCTTTTTGTCCATTTCGTGGATAATGGGTACATGTGGAGCCATGTGGGCGGTATTCGTTGTGTGCATGGGTCGCTGAAGATTTCCGTAAGTCCCTGTATGTACGAGGTCCGTTAACTCGTGGCCATGAGATTCTTCCCGTTCACTTAGAACAAAAACGACTTTTGCGCGTCCTCCGTCGTACGATACCACCTGCAGTTCGATTTGGGGCCGGCCCTGGGAAAGATGCATCTTTGAACAACGCGAGTGCCTCTGTGTTAGCTATTGGTGGCGGACCGGCATATTTGGAAACACGACTTCGAGTCTGTCCGGTCGACATCGCCACATGGCTATGCATGCAAAACTACGAAAATGTATGTCAGTTATGTTCCCGGACCTAAAAAAACAAAGGTTGTTAGCACTATAGGTTACTAACAGGCCTCACCGTGTATTTACTTAATACAACTAATTAATTAAACAGGTGCATGCTGAAAATACGTGCCATTCTTCCCTGCCTAGGCGAAATCTTAGTGTTAGTTTTGATTAAGCAAATTTCGATTCATAGGCTCACTTGTTAGGATCAGTGGAAATAGTTCTCTTTCGTTCCAGTACTCAAGATACCTCTATGGAATACTGTACTATATTAAATCAGTAACACCTTTAACTCATTGGCTAAAATATGCTACATCAAACCATATTTTTAATGCAATACTCCTTAAAAGAGTATAGTCAAAAAGAAATTTTCAAACTAGCCTGAAGTTTTAATTAAGAGACGAACCCTTTAAAGGTGACACAATAATAAGTCAACATGAGAACGGATACAACAGAAACTAAAAATAAACCGAAGCTTATACTGTGCAGGGCCATTTGTCGATTACCAAGTGATGTACAGCCGATACAGAATGACAACATTTTTAGTACTAGCATCTAAAATTATTTGTGAGAGGCAATAACATATTGTATCAATAATTTGTGAGTAAAGAAGCATATTGAATGCGACATCTTTAGTAAAAACAATGAGTGTACAACGAAAATAATTATAGGGATGGGAAGGATATAAGGCTCTGGTCTAATAGACTTTTTTGCATTGAATAGTTTGGCAAAAACGTGTAGTCGAATTTCAGCCGACTATACCATTTATTCTGAGTATTTGAAGTTATGCCATAATGCAACTAAGAAAACCTGTTTAGCCAGTCCCCTTTAAATAAAATGTGCGGGAACAGAGTTCACTGTCAACCAGTAGCATTTTATATTCTGCCCATACGTTCTACCTGTGGCATGCTCATTCGATAACGTAATAAAATATGGGCCCAATAAATGACAAAGGGTTACATACCTCTTCGGTGCTGCCAGAATTGAAGGAAGATTTGTTGAGTAGCCTTTCGAGCATAACCTTTGGCGGTTCACGTGTATATAGGGGTGCTCCAGGATGAGCGGACAGCAGTACACGACTCTCCTGAACGACCGAGCCGTAGAGGAATACTGAATCGTACACCTGTGGACATATGTCGCATTTACCAGGACAGCAGTGCCTTTGGACCACTGTTTATTACACTGGCAGCATTAGTAGTAGAAATAGCAAAAAAGCAGTACCTGTATGAGTTTTGTATAGTTGGTTTCTGAAAGAAACTCGACTCTTTGTTTTATTTGATCCCTGATGACTTTTCCTTGAAGCATCGGTTTTGTACGGATGTTGAGAAGATTCCGGGAATAAGGAACATAGCTGGAAAAAGTGTACATTAATTTTTTTTTACGAACAGAGCTAAAATCATATCATAATTTGTAGTAACTGAATAATCATGAGAATAAATGTTGACTGTCGCTCCGTTCATATTCTCCTTTAGAATATAGTTACTTTTTTTGTCTGCTAATATGCCTATAAATGTTGTATCGAATTTGATTAAATGTTTTTGAGTATTTTTGTATTTACTCTCAGACTCCCGTCGTTGTTCAGGTACTTACTCGGAGAAATGTTTTGTAGGCAGCTGGACGTTGATGAAAAACATTCGGCCGGTGTCCGTATAGCCAAGATCCTCCGATGCCTTAAGTAGACTCCGTAGACTTTGCTCTGTCAAACAGGTTACCACAACTGGAACAATAGCAAATGCCAAACAAAGCCAATGTTTTAGAGTTTCGTAGTGAATTGTTCACAAATGAGAGCTCTTGTTGCTGTCAATTTGTGACAGATCTTTGGTTCACTCAGGACTAGCTAAGTAGGTAACGTGTTTGGCTAATGTTAGGAACGCGTGATGGTTTAAATCTGTAAAATTGTGGTAAAATTGTTTCGTAGTGGAAATCAGTCGCCCGTTATAATGTAAAACGTTCGCTCCGAACGTAAAGCTCAAAATATTTAGTGTCATAAGGTACCATGGCCTAAATGCTTTTGGTAGGTGCATTGAAAAATTGTCCTGTTATTATTAGTATTATTATTACTACTACTGCTATAAAGCCTGCACGAAAGTTATAAGGCGCGAACACCCGCTTATCCGTTTGGATATCAGCTTTACGATAATTTTTTAATGAACACCATAAATACGTTTCTAGTTAACAAAGTATATAAGATTATATTACTCATATACTTATTATTTCATTAGTAAAACATTCTTCTGCTGAAAAACTGATAGTATGAGTTCCGATATATCGTCCTGAAGTGAAGTCCCTGCATTCCCTGAAGTTCCTAGAATGTATTTAATCCTACAATACTGCTAACCCTATAAGTAGTACTGGAAATTATTGCGGGCATCAGAATATACGCGAATGAGCGTACCAGCGCGCTGTACACGGGGAGTTCAAAACTGAATCTGATAAAAAGCCTAACATTGTAAGGCAATTAGCTAACACTAATAGAAGATAAAGAAGTAATTTCGAGCTCACGTCCCCTCTCAAAAATTTGTTCTTAGCTACTGGGTTACAGAGCGATGTCTCCATGTACATTGTTTTATCTCGGTAACTTGCCCTTTTCAGTTATGTCAAGGCATGAACATTTAGATAGAATATAAAAATAATTTCGAAGAATTTTCTGCACACTCCACACTCACTTTTGGCGTATTGAGCGGTTTTCAGCAACACCTCTTTATAGTCTGGCGGTTTTAATTTTTCCTCATAAATGTCATGCGCCACCGAGCTGTTCGATTTCATTAAAATGTTATAAATCTCTGTTACCGCCGTCGGACACTCGGGATCCACTGCAAAAATAGATTAACGTTAGTACTTACATGAACTGTGGTTCGACCTATATTTTGATTTTTGTATATAAAAAATAAATAAAAAAAATCCAATTAGTGAAATGAAATTAAGTCTACATCCCCTCAAAGCGGATGATATATATGGTCCTTTTTCTATTGTTGACCGATCCGAGGCATTTTACGACCTTACTGGTTCACTCCATCACTAGACTAAGTGTAGTTAATTCTGATCTTATGTAATTAGACGGCTCAATTTTTCAGAGTTGTTTGGTCAGGGAGCAGAGAAAAGGAGTAGGTCTATCTGAAACTCAACCGCAGCAGAACAAAAAGCGAAATACCTTGTTGCTTTTACGTGTAAATTTCACACGGAATTCTTGAATAAGATGCAAGAAAAACTGGCAGCATCCCTAATTAAGGAACTTTTATGTAGACGTCGACATGGGTGTAAATTAAGCTGGATAATAATAAAAGTATACCCGAATATAGGCTATAGCCTATCATCGGTATAACGTATGCTGTTTATATATGAATTCGACATTTCAACAACACAGGCAGAATCGTGAGTCGCCTCAGCCACAAGCACTGATTCAAGCCGCAGCCTACACAAACGAATAGTTGCGGTTTGTTTCTCTTCTTTTCGGTGGGTGAATAGAGCCATGACCGTAGAAGAACGCCATGCGTGGGGCAATGCGACTACCCCCATTGTGTTATGCCACTCTCAGCGTTAGAACATCCGTATCTGTCAAAATAAAAAGGTGTTCAAGTTTCGCTGAATAACCAGATAGTATAGTAGTTTTGGTAACGAAGTCTTCTCTACATACGTTTGTTTCCTGATCTGCCGCGGGGGCCAATACGCCGTTGGTTCTCGTCGTCGCGCACGATACTTCGTTGTGAATAAGGAAGCTCGCTATCGGTGCGACTAACTCACTACGAGAACAAATAAATGTTGATAACTATTTTTATGAATAAAGAAAGGTAATCCATGTGTATGTCAATATTACTTTATACACTTGCTCATAAGATGAGTACGTTGTCGTTGGATATGTAACACGGTACGATATATTTCAACATAAATGTAACGAACAACAGTAGCTAGCATTGTCAATGCACCGTGCAGACATTTAGTATTTACCAACATATCGATATCCCAAAGGACGACGATGCAACGAGCTGGCAGACGGTACCGAATCAAGGTGGAGGTAACATGCCCTAAAAATGATTGGAATACCATCTATTGCTAATCAATAGCATGGCGTTTTTGAGCACCACGTCCTTTAGAAACGACTTGTCGTTCAGATAGCTATTTTTTTCATTCATATTTTTTTTTCATTGCACGATTATGTTGCCAAATAAGAAGAAATTATGTTTAAATGTTGGGGATTATACACCGTTCATAGGAGACGGGCAAAATATAGATTTAAATTCACAGTTAGAGCAAGATTCAATCGAGCCAGAGACCGGTAAACAAAGCGACTATAAAACTGTATCTTATCTATATCGTAATTATGGTATAAATGCACCTTTGCGCTCATCTTTTCTTAAAAGGACAAGTGCATTTTTTTTACAACTAAATAAACGTCAAGCGGCGAAGAGGTGGCTTGAACAAGCCAGAAACGTAACAAGACGATGAATTGTAATTTCGAGCTACTACAGATTGAAGGATCGGAACTTACTGCTGCTATCCGTATATGTTGGTAATATTATAGAAATATCTATGTGAAGGGCTCAATATGCATGTCCAAGCCGTGTGAGTAAATCAAGTATGACACGTTAGGCATATTCCTGTTAAAACTGCTTAACGTGGAAAACAACACATTTAGATTAAAATGTGATTAGGGAAAGACAATGTTTTGGCTAATACGGTTTTGTATGCTGGGATTCACACTGTGTTTAGACCAAAGAGTTAAATACAATGTCAATTCTTTCAAGAAAAGCGCTTAACACATGTACAGTACAACTCCCAGCGACAAAGCGCAGCGTTTAATAGATGAGAAGTTTTTAAAACACTAGGATAGGCCGTTGGCCGGTTCTGTTGCCATTTAATAAGTTCACACAAAAATCTCTCTGATTCTTAACCTGATGTCGTAACTAAATGGAGACCACGTTTGTTGAGTCTTGTATTGCTGCTTTGGTTGGGAACGGGCTTATTCAAGTGCCACCGAAGATTCGGCTGTAAGCAAGATTAGACTACCATAATATACGATACTGTGGATCGAATGATGCCAAGATATGGAAGGACTCCTAACGGAAAAAAATCGATTTTCCTCTAGGCCTACTATTCAGGCACAAACGGCCAAAGTGGCCTATCTATACAACATCTATCAAGAAGTATATGAAACTTTGTTCGAAGCTCATATTATGATTCAGTTGAAGTCAGGACTGTAAAGTCGTTAAAAGACATTTCAGACAAGCGTCTACGTTTCATTTTCATTTCGTATTTTCATTAGGTACTCAAACGTGATCTAGGCCCTGTTTCTCATGCATGTCAGTACATTTCAGATTATGTGCTTCTAGGCTGAGGGGTAGACCAGCAAAGCATCGTCATCCGTTAAGTCACTGAATCGAATTGCAATGCTGACAGAGCTCATGGCTGACGAGCTTACAACTATGTCGAAAGACTGTGCTAATAAATCTGATACGATAGCAACTAAACGTATTTAACGCAGAAACGCTGGCTAGGATTAACGGCTAGGTTATATTCATGTTCTTATACGTATTGAAAGAATAATGAAAAGGGAAAAATTACTCACAGCATGGCCGTAACTCAAACAATATTCAGCTGCTGTTCCTCTTAGGGTAACGGCTCCCATCTTGTATTTCATTTCATAAGAACTCATTGAAAATCAGAATCAATCCTGATTATCTAACAATCACCCGAGAGCACGATTCAGAGTAAATAGATTTCACAGCCTCTTTTGGTTGCTTGGCAAGCACCGGGCCAGGCTTGGCTAAAGCTACTATTTTTTATAAGGAGAAGTCTCTAAAAAATTCGACGTAACCTAAGAAACAAATGGTGAATCGACATGTGTAGAGCAATCTTTTACAATTCCAACACCCGTTTCCACAAAGACTAAGCCCGGACCATGATCCATCTTTGTTTATAAACTACGTAATGTAGCTTGCGTCGCCTTAGGGGCTGTCAGGGGTTCGAGACAGTGGCTGCGATGACAATCCTAATCGTAGTTATAGCAGTACCGTTGATCTGTCGGGCAATAACAGCGGCCGACTGCTTCTGTGCCTGTCTAGGCAACAGAGGCGTACGTACCTTCCTATTATATATTGCATAGGAAGGGACTGCCATAAACTTGTTAGGACCGAATGTGTTCAGAAGGGCTAAACTTATAAACTATAACGGTTGCAGATTATTAAATGTATGACCAATGCTCGACCTCAGAGCTTTGGCTAAAACTATTAAAGCTTACTATGGTTCTAACGAGGTCAATAGTGTAAAAGCCTTGTTAGCTATTTTGCTAACCATTAAGGCTATTGTATTCCATGTTTGAAGGTTGTCAGTGAGGATATAACAGAAAACAGAAACGTTTGATTGCACTTTAAATTTAAGTAGAATATAGTCAAATGTCGTAATCGAGTAAAATAAAAATAGATATTCCGAGTTACGTCCGCAACTGCATCAGACGGTTAACCACCAGCATAAATCAACCATGCCTATGCCGAGATTAGCATATATTTAGCGTCCGTATGTACACAGCTTCGCCATGCGGAGGACGCTACGTAAAATGGAAATGGAAAAAAAGAAAGATTATACCAACTGTTCGAAGGGACAATTCAGTCGATCGAGTATATATTTACATAGAGCGAAATTTGGATATTACCCTTCTAAACACATACCTCAGAATACTTGATCGAACGAGTCATGCAATCGATGTAGAGGTTTTTCGAAGAGTTTGTTTACTGTACATAGTTGCGGACCCCTACTGTACATAAATGCTAAGACCGTGCTCCCATAAAAAATGCACTGCGTTTGATCGGTTCCATTGTAGGACAGGCTATACAATTAGAAATTTTTTTGATTTATCATTTTGAGTTGTTGTCACTTTGACAACTGAACCATCTTAGAGTCAAGGCAGTTGTGGTCCGAACAACATATATATGGGCATTTTGTGGAAGCCAAGACATGATTACCATCACGAAAGTGACTAGTACGGCGCTTATTGTGGCAGAGAGGAAAGATCTTATGACACCTTAGTGACATAGTAATAATTAAATAACAAAAGTGCTAATCAGTTTGACATAGGGATACTAGACAAGCAATATGAAGCTAAAGCTGTCCTTTACAGGTCCTACGTGTACAAACCATAAATAGCATGCCAATCAGTCGTCTCAGCTGAAGTTCTTATTCTAGAAACACGAAGTATCACTACACGCATGCTTGCGGTGTCGTAGATCATCGTTTGTTTCTCTGAGAAACGCTGACAGTTCATAGGGATGAATTACCGTTAATGTAATGGCATGATGATCGAGTAAGTTTCATCGGCGAATGCTCGGTTGAGTACCCTAATAATATTGAATTTTAGTGAAAAAAATATCGAATTATTGGAGGAGGTGCACTCATTATGAAAGCGTTATTATACATACTTCAAAAACAGACCAGCGCTGGTTAGGCTAAAACAGATACGTGGATTTGTCATCTTTGATCCTTCTTCTTTAATTCACTCCTGTCCATTTACAGAACTAAAGCTTCTATATAGAAATAAACTGGTGAGGCAATGTTGTCAATGTGAATAATACCAAATGGAACTCTTTTCGTCTGCAACAACGTTTTTAAAGGCTGCGGGACCTGTAAGATCCAAAGTAGTGGCCGGGATGTATATAGGTTTAGGTAATCATAATAAAAACGATTTTAATTTTGGTCTGGGAGCAAGATAAATATACGAACTGTACGAATCCCATAACTTAAGAAGACATATTTTGGGCTCTCACGGTGCTAACAGTAAAGGGATGTGCGAAGTTCCGTTCCAGAAATTTGTGACTGAGTTATTGAGCAAATCAGCAAACCTTGTAGTTTGCACAAAACTATAATTTCGAAGGTACAATAAAGGAGTAACGCGGTGAGCATGTAGCCATAGCAAGTGCCTTTTTCTTTACTGGTCTGCGATTTTGTCCTGCGTGAAGTCCTCAAAAAAGTCTGGGTCGCTTGTTATTGGCTGATTAACAATACGTTTTGCTACCTGCTAATCGCGCAGTTACTCGAGTAGAAGGCTGACCTCTGATACTGTTGCGTATGTTGCATCGGCAATCGAAATGCCGCTGGAACAAAATGCTTCAAACAAAGTGTTACTGTTTTCGTCCATTATTACTACCATGTTGATAATACTGCGTCAGTATTTGCCATCTCTAAGCTGTTAATGCTATATTTATTGCTATCAACTGAATAGAAGTACACAGCCTTTAAGTACGCCTATTACAACAATTACCGACTTACCTGTACTCGTAAGAAATGCAGCCCGATTCCATTTAAAATGATCAAAAAGTTCCTGCAGCATAATTCCGTACACCCCGTACTCAGCGGTAAGCTGTATAAGGGTTCTTTTGCGTTCAGTTCTTTGTAAAGGGATGGGTGATACAACTGGTACCTCCCATTCTGAAGCGAAATCCGTTACCCGGTAGGCAACCTCACGACAGCGAGGCTCGAGTACAAGGACGTCGATGTCGGCCTGTTCTCGTTGTCTGATCAGTCGAGTGAGGGCTTTCCGGTAATCGCACTCCGAGTCCACCACAGTTACCTGAACTTGTTGATTAGTCAAATTGAACCTGTCCAATGCCATCTGAGCAGCCGTGTGATATTTATCGTGCAGTTCACTAGCCACTATCGTTACCATCAGAGGGTGCGAGGCCGCCTTTAACAATGTGCCCAGTTCTTCCCCTTGTCCCGGAAGATATGGCGCCTTAGGGTGCTGAGCTGCTACCGCTAGCAATGCAGCACCGCTATCGTCACTAAAGACATCAACTGGTATCAATATTAGCCAGCTGCAAAAGCAGATAATGCTAAACATGAACGTCTCGAAAAGACTATTTCGAGCACCGCCAGGTGCCCTCCGGGCTCGACAGTTCGTTGCAAGACGCATGTTCGCCGGGCCCGCAATCGTCTCCACCTGCTTCGGGCCCTCGGCGCTATTTTTGCATTGGCCGTGGCACTTCGTACTTGCGTCGAAACATCAGCGCAGTGGGCTAATTTCCACGGCGCTCGCTGCTCCACCTTTTTTTGCGCCGTCTTTGTTCGTCCGTATTTGTAGTTCACTTACCTGTGATGGTCTTGACGGTTGGTGCGACGCAACGTACGTGTCGCCAAAAAAGATGACAAAATGTGTTGTATTCTCTGTTTTTGACACGAAATCCTCTGTCGGTTTTACAAACAAGGGGTTCGACAGGCAGCGAACAAGATGTCAACGCAAGAACTGCCTTTAATTACCTTCCAATTTACCTCTTAACTTGGTTTACGTCAGTAGCGATTACGAATCCTAAGCGTACAACTTCGTCATGCTTCGCTTGTAGCAGCTTGAGCTGCTTTGGATTTCAGCCAGAAGATCATGACTGTAGACTTGATCAGCGGTGGCTATCATACAGTAGGCACCGTGGGTGAGCTTATGCCTCTGTGCTGCCCAGCGGGATAGTTTAGGCCAGCAGAGACGTTTCGAGCCCTCAGGACCTTGGGGGCTTGAGTCGGCTAGTCTAAGTTAGTCGCTCGTCAACGTTATGTTAGCTGTTGGCTGTTTCCGCGGCGGTCGATCGGGGCGAGAGGACTCTCAAAGAAGGTTGCCCGGCTGTACCCCGATTCAACCTTACGCCGCTGGCGCGTCCCGTCTTTGGCCAAACCTATTGTGGCTACACAACACGGAGCTGACTAACGCTGAGTTGAAACGTATCGAAGCTCACGGAAGTTACAAATTAAAGCTGACGACACAGGTACGCTATGCTATGGCCGACACGGTGGAGACGTGTAGTCGAGGGTACGCTGTCGCACCACAACAACACATTCAAGAGAGCAGTCGAGAGTAGGGGCAACTGTGCCCACGCACTGAATTCAGCACCGGCAAACCTTGCAGCTCCTGGTGGCTGCTTTCTGTTTATTGCCCTGTCTAGTATTGATGCCTAAGCTGAACAGACTGACAGGTCTTGATCACGAGAGCAAGTTCCCTTTTCAGTGTCGTCCTGACTCCGATAGGGAGTAGGATTTAAACTCTGGACAGTATGGCTGGCGCTCTTGTACAGCCTGAAGTAATAAGAACACTCGGAAGTGGAGCTGCCTAAAGTGCGTAAAACCACGCGGTACATGGAAAGAGAATCGTTGTACCTGTTACTTAATTAGCAGGCATTTAGCCCGCAGCATTCATCTATAAGGATACCTTCCTACTCGTGTGCTTTTTACCACAGAATAAAGTACACGTGTATAGTTAATGAGCTTTAACTGAAGAGTAAAATCAATAATCACATTTTGGAACATTGTGAGAATATGGTTTCTATATATTCAACGATATCTTGTAGCATCCGGTGTGTCGAAGTTTAGCAAGGTGCTAACACTATGTGAAGCACAGGTTATGCAAGACAATAATTATATTAAGAAAAATAACACTACTATGTCCAAACATTCAAACGAGTTTATTCCGCAAGAACTCGCTAGCCCTTTTGCTTACTAGTGGCTCACATCGATTACGTTCAGAATACGTTTAGAAAAATGACAATTAAGGGTGTTATTGTTGTTGCACTCTTTTCTATTACACAAAAGGGGTAGTTGAGGACAGGCTTTATATATATATATATATATATATATATATATATATAAAATAAAAATAAAAAATAAGAAGATTATTCAATATAAAGAAGTTGACGATATTATGTGACGATTTTTTTAAACATACGATTTTAGTCTAAACGTATGTCAAAACGTAAAGTATTTCCTCGAACAAAAATTAGTCAGACAAGAAAAATCCAAAATATCCGCAAAAATCCGCTTAGGAAGCGGATATAAAATTTAAAATTATTTGACAAGCACGGACTTCTTGTCCAAAGCTAAACATACTTTTTGCATTATTGAGATGTACTTTTTTTATTATTGAGATGGATTTTACGGAAACTTTTTGATAGAATAGCGCTGGCTGCTATAGCGCGTGACGATTAATTTTTAAAAAAGATATATAGTTTCAAGATATGAGCTTCACATTTACAATCTATTTATAAAATCTAAAAAAAAATTCATTAAAGTAATCTTTACATTGAAATGCGATACAGCTTCTCACATAAATCTCTCATTCACACCGGACTTTCTTGGGTGCCCAGTGCATCTGTGCATTAACATTAACTTCCTCTTACGTATTTTCCGTTCCATGTGAGAGTTCACATTAGCATACGTTTAGTTATTTCAGATTCAGATTAACTTTGTGCAGGCCCAGGAGTCATGCCGGTTTGAAAAGACAGACCTCTATTTTAAGATTTAACACGTAACAATTTCATACTAGACAATATTAATTATACAAGATTTTTTTAGTGTATTTTTCCGTTATCTCTCGTAATACAGCTCTACTATACAATAAGCCTTCTTTTCATCCCCTTACTCGTCAGTCTTGGCCGCACATAGCTAATCTATATATATCGTCGTGGCAAGAGCAGTAATAAGCAAAAGTAGTCATTGGTTGGTCCCGCTATCGACAACCGACATAGATTGTAAAATGCCTGTCGCGTGAACTGCCTCTTTTGCTACTATTGCAAGTATCTCTCGCGTTTCTCGTACCGTTTCCTCTCCCTAGCGGAGTGTAACAGCTTAACGGAGAACTGAGTACTTGCGTCCGCGGGTGCAATTAGAGCGACAACAATAACGGCTTTCACATCGACCTCGTCGGCGTTGTTGTCCTATCATTGCCAAATACGATCGCCTACGCTTTATAGCTGTCCCGTTTCTTGAATAAGCGGCGGCTAGCTGACGGCCAGTTGAGGGCTCGTCGCCGTTCATTCGTCCCAATCTCTTTCAGTCTGCAATCAAAAGCTCGACAAGTCGTTGACGCCACGGACACGGTGATTGTGCTCCAGTTTGCCGACGTTTTCCGCCGGTATCACCCAAAGTCGCGGATAAAGCTGCTGATATACGGATGTTTATAATAGTACAGTGAGTAGTTTTCGTACAAGCATTGGCGGTGTTAGCTGCAGACACTTAGTCGGAATCGGAGCGCCCCTGATCGCGGCACGCTGCCTGATTGACTGACTGGCCATTTGTGATTGGCGTGTGAAACATACAGGAGAGACTTGATTGTGAGTGGAGCTGTGTGCTACTGCGGCCGTCACCGACAATCGCCGAGTCCCAATGACGGGGTCAGGTCAATCGATTGCGCAATCATTGCAACTGCCGTCGGCGACAGTGCCCCTGTTCGGCCATTCACCAACCGAAAAGCACAAAGAGGAGTCGGAGCTAACTAGAAACAAAGGAACAAGGAGAATACCTATACGCAAAACAAGGGCAGCCGCGATAACAGCTGCAGCGTTACGTTCGACGAATGTGCCATCAAGCGGCGTTCGAACAGATTTATCGCCATCATCGTACGGAAAGATGACTTTAATCCTTGCATACGTCCTTGTGATGCTTTCCCGAGCTCAATCGCACTCAGTTTTGCTTGATGGAGACGACTGGAAAGTAACGAACGCTAATAGATGTGAGTTTCGTATGGACAAGCACAAACAGACACACGAAAAGGCTTATGCACAAACCCGTTGGGCACTTTTCATTCGCGTCATAGTGGTTGAGAACTCCTGCCGTAACGAGTAAGGGGGAACAAAGTTGTAAATAAACAAGGTTACACTTGTTCATTATTAAATAGATGACAGCAAGATGTATTTTTATAGCTCAGCGATTAGATTTGTGCATACCTAAAAGTAAACTTTTGAGCCCAAAAACATGTCGATTTTTCAATTGGCTATCCTATCATGTGCGACTAGAACATCATGAAAATAACATTCTAACCGCTGTGAAAAGCTAGACTGTAATTGCCCTAATATATTGTAGTGTTACATAAAGTCCAATGATAATTCTCGGCTGTACAAAGGCTGGGTAGAGCTGAACCAAGGATGCACGGTTTTTCGCGCTGAAATCACAAGCCCTAACTAGTATCCTTGTTTACTAATGACCAAAAAAAGAAAAGTACAATCACATAGGGTACAATCAAAGTGGTAGTTCGAACACTTTAATTATCCTCAGCTAGAAATTTAAAAGTACCTACTGATCCGTATTGCTCTCAGTTTTGTCCAAAAATTAGGATTTACCACTATTGGTGAAGATAACCGTTTTTAGTACTATAAGGATAGTATCGATAGGTTATTATTTATATTATATATTACATTAATTAAAACTCAATTGATCGAGTGAGAAACATTGAGAATTAATAGATAATGATGTCGGCGGAATGAAGTCCACCCCTCGGTACTCAATCCCACGCTGATCGGTTAACTAGTCACTGTTCCACTGTGCCTAATTGTACGTACACAGTAGTACTCGAACCCTGTTGAGAAAACAGAGGAAGTAAGCACGAAGTCGCACCCAATCTGGCATGCGTTCAATCGACGGCTCCTCAAAGTCACTCGGTTTTGCTATATCTGCTGTTTATATGCATCATCATTCTCTTTCGTCGTTGTACAACGCATCACCACCTTGTTTACGACTCATGCTATTTATCACTGGAATTTGCAAACGTATTATACAATTGGTGATAATAGAAAAGTCCTATTTCAAATGTAAACAGATTCGGTTATCGAGAAAAAAAAATAAGAAAGACTAAGTAGCAAGCCGGCCGAAATTCGGTGCAGTATATCGGGTATGTGTCGTAATTAACGGTAAGCGGCAGATCCGCAAATCACCATCGAACACTCATGGGGCAGAACTCAGCGCCAAAAAACAAAAAAAAAAATGCTAACTGTAAAATGACACAGCGATCGAAACTATGCGGCTGATGTGTCAATGTATAATGCATAAGTAGATCATGCTCGTTGCCATGTGTGTTTGTTTCTGTGAAAAATAGGCAAACGTATCAAATACCCCACCGCAATCAATCGTTATTTTATAGACTTAATCTCTCATATTAAATGGTTTCTGCTATAAAAGCTTATTAAGAATTCTATTACACCGATGGTTCTGGCAACGGGAGCCCTGCAGTCTTAAATAGACACAGAACTTCACCGCAACTATAAAGTTTAACACGGATCCCACATAAGTGCTTGCCTTTAAAATCATATTCATATATGTGTATATATATATTTTTGGAACTGCCTGTCCTTGATCTTGCCGGGTCGACTAAACGAAGCTCCCCTTTCGAACAAAATGAAAGCGAATCAATGCGTCACTGTATGTACGTTCATAGATTTGAATAAAACTTTGTTGTGTGTGACTAAATAACAATCAGCAAATACGTGAAGATAGTTATTCTAACGATATAACCGTCCCTGAATTGAGGTAGCATACCAAAAGTGTATTTAGAAGGTTCTTATTGCATTTCTCTGGACTCTTGCGTGAAAAAGAACACCTGACAGAAATTCTTCTTAAACATTTCCTCTGAAATCGGGCAAATTGACGTTTGGGCTGGGTACGTGAATAACGTTGATGAAGTGAGTTCAACTTATGCAGTTGCGTAAGTTTCGCAAGGTAAAGCTGCTCCTTCGAAACGGCCAGACTTTGAATCAATATGAAATCGTGCCAGTATTTCTATTGTAACTTATACTTTAAAGTCTCTGTCTTTGTGATTCTTTGACATTGAAAGTGACATTAGTAATAAGGCAACTAGTTTTTTATAAATCATATATATTTTTTCTAACATATTCGCCTAACTGCTATTATAGTACATGTTTCTATCAGACAACGTATCTTTCCAAATCGACAAAGATAACTTCTCTGTCGCCCTAATTGAATTCACTGACGCATCCGTTCGTAGCTGCCACAAACAATTAATTGATCGTTAATGATTCCGATACGTATGTACAGTAATACTAAAATTGCGCTGAACATCGCCAACGTACTTTAACCTTTGAATAACAAGGTCTTTCCTACCGATGTTCTCAGTGCCTAAAAACCTTTCAGTTAAAGATTTCATATAACGATTATCAATATTAGCCTTGTCGATGACTAGGACAATACATTTTAACTTATAGTTTACTGTAATCAAGCGCCTAAATTATGTTGCGGATATCCCACAGTGAACCTTCTGGGTAACACAAAGAGTGGCTTAATTTCGTAATCGAATTTAGCAAATCCTAAATTGTACAACGAAACTGACTGTGTTAATTGATCACTAAGTTTTAATAATGCTTAAGCGTACGTTGTGTATGAACACGCTATAAAGCACATCTTTTTCGACGTCATGCACCCTGAAACCGTTGTGCGTTTTTGATGCACCCAAAAAAATGTCTTAGGCTTGTTCCGAGGTAAGGTAAATACTGGATATTTCTAAACAAGACGAGTGCTATTTTTACCCAATCAAAGGACGATTTCATTCAAAGGGTTAGAACCATTTGACAGCTTGGTTAGTGTTAGCACTTCAAAAGGTTCGCTTGAAAATGTGCGCGCTATATATATAAACACATGGGAGAGAAAGGTCTTTGGGCTTTCTTAGAAGGCATAACATTGTCATGGGCTTAGAAAAAATGCTATACTTAAATTTTCTAATATTTTGTTTGTTTGGGTATTGTAGAGCTGGTCCACCGAACAAGATTTTCTAAAAGAGCCAATAACAACTTATCAGTATAGAAGTTAGGCGTATAATATATCCAGAAGAGGAAAACCTGCTTCGCGCGCAATTTTAGATGCGAGAGTCTTGGAGACAGGAATGTCGGTTTAAATTTTAAAAAAATGGCTGTAGCAAAAAAAAGTAGTCGTTTGAGCTCAGTAATAACTAATCGTGATGAAAGGTGTATAATAATAGTTTATTACTTTATAATAAATTCAGTCACATAGCGAGATATTATTCAAGCTAGAACATCAAATTATATAGATCAAACTTATAGAAGTTCTGCTTCCATGGGTCGGTAGAGCTTGAGATCGCCTCATAGTTATTCATTTGCTAATACCTTACGATCTAACATACTCACCGGTAGTTATCAACTTATTATCCACTTATTATAACTACTCATAAGCGTATTTCAAGAAACCTTCATCGATAACAATTTTTCGTTGTAGGTGGGTGTAGAGCAGAAGTTCGTATCGTGGACATCCATGGCTCCATTTAAACCACTAAACTATAAACGTTTTATCATAATATGATCTATCACAATCCTTTGCATGCTATTAACGAATTATCGCGTCGCTGATTGCACGTGAAGAAACAATATCAAAGACTATTCTTGCAAAAATTACTTAATAAAAAATAGTGTGTTTTAGGCTCGTTATCGATTCACTACCGCTTTGTGCGTCTGATCATAAACTAGTACAACAAAAAATCAAAGATCCATATAGGTACCTAGCTAATGGATACCACGGTAATGCTATGGAGTTCATTGATTGTAGACTCAGTTATTGTGCGACAGTGAAAGCAGATAGCTGGCGTTCGTTTTCTGCGTTTGGTCAAAAGCAAAATTTATTTCTATCTCGGTCGCGCCTTCGCCGGGAGCCATCCGATAGCTAAGCGACACAGGGGCTATTGAAATTACCACACCACCCTGCGAAAATTACCAAAAAGTACACCTATCTACAATTGATCGCTGCACAGTTGACTTTGACAGCGTTTTATCTGTATGTTAAAAATGTATACAATATTTTCTAGGAGATGAACAAAAGTCCACAAAAAAAAACCGTTTCTTTGCGATACTAACCATTCGCATTACTGCAAGCACTTCACGCGTTTATGTTGTATTTTACCACAGTACGAGGTGATGTACTCACGACCCCAGTCAACTCCCGTTGGCTCATCAATAACGATCAACAGCAATAGCAGGCATAGCATAAATCTCTGCTCTAATCAGTTGGCGATTAAAGTAATTATTAGACTTGCTACAAATAAAAAAAGCATAATTGCAGAAAAGAATAACAGAGCAATTGATAGTGTCATGCTTCATGTGGGCTCATAGATGCAGCTTAAAAATACGATCAAAGTGCACACTGAGATGAGCGATTGTTTCATCCTCAAGAGATAAACAGACACCCAAAGGCTACCTGCCTTGATAACAGGACCGTTTCCGGGACCGCGCTCTTTTCGAATCTACGTTTTAATTATGGATGAACATGGCAGGCGTTTGTTTTCGACATGCGACATGCCAGTCTGGTGTCCCATGCTACTGAAGTGTCTATTAAATGTTTATTTTTATTTAAAATTCTTCTCTAGAGTAATGGCAGTAGAGTTCCTTGACGTTTCTATTGACTGTATATCTTATAAGTCAATTCCAAATTATTGGGTTCGACAGATGTTTTGTATATCAGCGGCGACACCGTTTTGTATCAAACCCAGATTAGAGACGTATGTTAAGTTGATCAAGGCGTATGCGCGGTTGGTGTATATATACAGTTGGTGCCGGCTAAGCGTTTGCTTTCCCAATGATAATCTTTCGCAAATATCGAGTCCTCGTTTTATTATTTGCATAATGATTCGCTTGCACCGTTCGAACAGTATAATGTATTTTTCCCATAGACAAAGGCGTAGTAGTGCAGTTCTTGATTGAGCGTTCGATTTGTTTTGCCTCACATTTGAATTCTCTGGATCGGTTGTTCGGTTAGAGATTATAGCTAACAGAACAGGTTTAGTTACTGAGCAGTTTCTCTGTATCCAACTAAGCTACATTATTACTAGAAGTGCTAAAAGGCGAGGTTAGATGGGAATTACTAGCTGTTGATTGCCAAGTAAAAGTCACTCTAATGACAAAAATCAACCTAAATAGCGTAAGACGGTTCCATCCTTAGGGCGAAATATTTCGGGGGCGATTAGGTGTTCGATGAGGCAATTAGTGTTATCAATAATTACTATTGTTTTTATATACCAGACAAAAACGTTTCATTGCTGGCTTTAATTACCTCTTCCTCTTAACATTGACATATTAAACACTCCAACAGTTTCCTTTACCCACGGTCGTTATTATGGTGCATTATAATATCGTCAGAAACGAGTGTCTAAGACGAGTTACACTACGAACGAGCAGGGGAGCATGGCGTACGATAAATAAACTAGGAAATTTTACTACGAGCAGACTATGGTTAAACAGGCTCAAAAACACTAGCGTTTATTGTATCTAAATTAAGCTCCGGTCCTAGTAGAGAGGAACGCCAGTTGTTCCAAATTTAGTTTCCGTTTATCTGACAAAGGTAATAAAACAGCAATCTATGAGAGAGACTGCCTTAATAGAACCTCATTTAATAATGCACCACAGAGTTTCTAACATTTTACTCATTCGTTCGAGAAACTGTCACCATTTTTTAGACGTTATCTGCTCTAGCCTTTTTGTTTCGGGTTTTACGTCCGGTATTGCCGTTAACCACTTCATCGAACAAACGGCCGGCTCCCGCCCTGCTGTTCTAACCTACGATACTTCGTTTACGCTTCTACGTGTTGTTTTCTATGAACGTTGTGCAGTTAATTGGTAAAAAGCAATGCCAAGGAGCAGCAAATGAGAAAGCGAAAACAAAGCGCTGTTGCCATGGCTTCGTTTGTAGATACCCATCAAAACAGAAAAGACGTTAACTGCAACGTGAACCGTTTCGTGACAGTGGATAAAATGTATCTCCGCTCCAGAAACATCTTCCTCTCTTTCTGTGTAGTAGAGAATAAATGCAATATATTATGTTTGAGATAGAGATAATGACCGGTTTATCTTTTGGTTCAAAATACGCCACCTTACTTTCGGATTTAGATGAATTTAATTATGAGACAGCGACTTTGAAAGAAGCTTAGCCTGTAATTTTTTAAGAAAAATAAAAAAAATCGCAAAATTGGGTAGCCTGTCTCGATCTATTATGTAATTTCAAGTGCGGTTTCATGAAGTTTTTTTTATAATAGATATGTTTTATTTAGTTTTACTTTATCCGACACCCTTTGGGTGAAACCTCCACACAAATCTTTCACAAATAACTATATGGCGTGACATAATCGCCGTACAGAACAAACTATGGATCTGTGCAGCGCGATTTTCGTTCGTATTCGGGGAGAAATTGTACATAAACTTCGGTTTCTCTTCATTCGAGGTTTAATTGCTCCATAAATACATAGTGATATTTTAGAGAAAAAGTAGATCCGGACTGAGCAAAGCAGCTTCGTATGCCTACGCTATCACATGGAATATTACTCTCCTCAATCAAGTACCTGTTCAACGCATTTTCCAGGGCGCTCGGTCATTCTGAGTCGCTGTGCCTACTGAAACTGGACATCAAATTCTTGTTGCTAAAGGTAAACGAACTATTTGATTTTCAGCAATTTCGATTTCAGCACGAGTTCCTGGTGGTATCTATAGCGACCTGCACAGAGCCGGAATAATATCGGAACCATACTATCGTTTCAATGACATGCTTCAGAGATGGGTGTGCTACGATGATTGGACGTGGACCTCTAAATTTACAGGTGAAAACGTACTTTTATTTACTATATGCATGCTCATTTATATTAAATAATATTGCCTGGAGTATCTCGCCCATTAACAAGTAAGTTTAAAGGGGAGCTCTCGTCTTTCACTATCCTTGGTCAGTCGATATATCGAAGGCTTAGCCTGTAAATGTGATACATAGGGTATTGCCAGCAACGCCACTTCACTTTGGCTTTTATGACACAGATAATACGACTGGTTCATGCTGGCCCCCTTCAGCACATATCGAATTAGACATTCACAAAAATTACACGAATTTGATCGCAACGTTAGACGGCACAACTTTATTAATTTGCTGGAACGCTGTACGAAAATGTGATGCTTTTTACAGTCCCTGTGGCTGTCTTGGCCTCGCCTAATTTGAATCTGGTCTTTCACGGCATCGATACTGCAGCCAACATATCTCTGAATGGACGTAAAATTCTCACAACCGATAACATGTTCTTAAGGTACGTGGTCGACGTGCGAGGCGTGCTCAACGAAGGTGATAACAACAATCTGACCGTCGCCATTCAATCACCGATTTTCTACTCGTTGATGAAATTCAGCGAGTTCTACCAAAACAATTACACAGTCTATCCCACTTCACATCCGGCATCCCAAAATGGCGAAGAGCACGCCAACTTCATTCGCAAGATGCAGGTATATTACCTACGATTGCTTTTGGGCTATTTGCATGCTGTTAATTTAAGGATAGGTTCATTTTCTTTTCGAAAAACATACGAGAGTCGCATATTTTGGCTCAGAGCCATTGGTTTTAACAAGATTGATCATGTACTAGTTTATGTAGTTCTGCTAATAGCTGACCGTCATACTCTGCCCAATAGAGCTCGTTCAGCTGGGACTGGGGACCAGCTTTTCCCTCGTCGGGTATCTGGAAGAGCGTCGAATTGGAATACTATGACAAAATTCTACTGCGGGATGTCGTCATCGGAACACAAGAAAATGGTTTGTTGAATTGCATACAGCATCAGCAAAACGTCTAGGAGCTATTTCTGAGATGATACGCTATTACGTTTAGACATGTAGTACATTAAGGCCCGTAGCATAACTGGTCAACTTCAAAATCGTGAATATCGAAAGCTTCAAGCAGCGTAGCTCCATTTCCAAGATCCAGGCCCATTTCCATGGTAAGTCAACTACTGCAATGTATCATGAGTAAATTTGCACACGTCTGATTGCACTAGTATTATCATTATTGCTACTATATTTATTTGCACCTTGTTTTATGGAGCAGACCCAACTCAAGGTGATCGTAAACGATAAATGTGTTTTCTTTAATGGACATTCACATTCGCGAATGGTCGGATTCAATCACCTAGTGACAATTATAAGTTCCTCAAAATAAGCAAGTTAACTATTAAAAAAAAGTATAATCTGTTAGAGTTGTTGTTTATTATATGAATGCGCCAAGTATGTATATACGAATGGTTAAGGTGTTATGTCTGTTTGATTCTTAGTGGCATCCATTATTTGATTAACAGATGGCCATTTTTGAGGTGGCACAAGATTGGAGGGCAACAACGTCTATCTCCGTGACAAGCAATTAGAGTTCCGCAAAATTTTACTATGTGCGTAGCGTAGAGTAACATCACAATGTACTCTATTAGTTCCTCAACCCATAAGATATCGCCACTGAAAACAATTTTTCCTAATGGCTTCATCCAAGCATGCATTCTCTTAACTAGTTACTAGAAGTGGAAACCATATAGGTCAAGTCTACGCAACAAGACGCATGCAAACCGGGGTCGTCGATTTTGTTTCTTTTTTTTTATGAAATCTAGTCAGTCAATCTCATCATTCATCAGAAAGCAATTTAATTTACTATAGTACACGACAGTGTTGAACGCCTAAAACGCATCATTATCTCAGGTCACGAAGGTTAATAAATGAGCCTGAAATGCACGCTAAAAATTCAATTTAACTGTAGTTAGCACGAGATCAGGAACCAAATTATTGTAAACAGAGGAAACGTAACGGAAATGGCGATGTCATTATATGGCTAACTTTCGATCCACATTATTACTGCAATCAATGAATCATGATAGCTTTCGTTTTCTAGTCAATGGTTCTATCAGTTCAATGTTGTATGGCGAATTCAGTCTAAAATACCGGACTAGTGTTATTACGGTAGCGTTCGCGCCTGTTGTCTCAGTATTACGTTACTGCACCCCCTGTGCCTAACGTGAGTGAGTGGGCAGGAAGCTGAAGAATCGTATGGGGCTTTGTCAGAATTCCGGCTGGTGGTAAATTTTGACTGTAGCTTTGTGCTATTTGCTACCTCGCTCTCAAATTCGTTTCTATAGAAAGTGGGCAGGCAAGTACAATTCCCACCCACCCGTCAGCAAAAGATATAAAATGCCTTTGAAATCATTTTGGCATGAACACTAAATTCAGTTCTATCTTTTGTGTGTCGATGTGCCATCAGAAGATATTTTTAAACATGTTGGTATACAATAATTCTAATAAGATAATTTTGCAATGTAACCGTCAATAGCTTTTGTAGGACGTACCTGAGATGAATTGTTAAGCACACATTCGATATGAAGTGACTGTTCGCAGCTTCATGTAGAAGTACATATTAATCTGGTATTATATTATCTTCATTTATATTGTGATTTCTGTGCAAATTCTTGCATATACCTTATAGGTGACCAATGGAATGTGACGTTAGTTATATATGTGGAAGGCAATCAGGTTCCACCACAGGTTAGCGTAAAGGTCGACCTGGAAACAGTCGGACAAATCTTCAACAGAAACATGCCTGTCGAAGATGGTATGATTCCCTATAGGACAAATTGCATGGCAGTTTTTCTTTACAGTTCGATATACTCGACTTTAATGCAGATAACCCGAGCAGTAAATTCTCAATTAGTTATGCATCTGTGTATTTATTTAGAATGTTATGCTGAAGCTATCAATTGCACATAAGCCTATGTACTGAACTTAGGCAGGGTAACTATATCGAACATTGCCGTCGACGAAAGGAAGGTTCATCGTTGGTGGCCTAACGGATATGGCGATCAAGTTCTCTATCAGCTACATGTCGACGTCGAAGGATCTTCGAAGAACGTTAGAATCGGGTTCCGAACTATTGAACTTGTGCAGAACACCATGCCGGGAATTATTGGCTTGAACTTCTTTTTTAAGTAAGTTTATCTTGGAAAGGTAAGTAACATACTCGTCGTTTCGGAACTAAAATCTACTCTATTTTTACTCAGTTACTTACAACGTTGGTTATGTGATTTAATGTATTTTTAACGATCCCATTTTCAAAGAGGTTTCTAGAAGCTATATAGCTTAACTCGTGAAATATGTCCGTATTAAAGTAGTTTCACCATCAACATACTTTAGACGACATATCTGATTAATTCGAAAAGGTTGAAGTACAAAAAACAGGCATATTATATAGTTGTAGGCCAAGAATTGATGAGAATCGTCAATTTTACCGTATTGCATTGTTTATATAGTAAGGAAAGCTGTTAGAGAAGTTACTTATGAGATGGTCGTTATATCTAAGATATAGCTATAGAAGATTAATCTTTTGAACGAAATTTTTCTACAGTTGTTAAAAAAGGTAGTAGACTGACATTTATTCAGATGCAAAGAGCGATAATCAGAAACTGTAAATTATACCAAAATAATACGATTAATAATTCGCCTTCTTGTAAATGCTATGATCGATTTGTAGACATGGCTTGCCTATGTATCATTGTTTTTACTCCGTTAAATACACTCCAGATAATATAATGTCTTACAACTACAATTGAGGTCTCTACGAGACAAACATACATACTTGAAACGTTATCCTAGAATGCTTGACCTTTCCAAGCAATTAAGATCTGAGCTAAGTTTAATAGTAGAATTTTTTAGCTGCTTTAGCAATTAATCCGGACTGTGACGTTATCATTATAAAATCATAACATAAATTTAGGCAACTGTTACTTGCGTACTATTTTACATTTGAGTCACTGTTAACCAACATAATCAATTTCTCTGGCCTTGGTTGTGAAGCTACTTTTCGCAGAGCTGTGTTCAATCTTGTTTTTTAAACTTTTTGTTAACCTATGTTTGTTTCGCAGAGTGAACGGATGGCCAATTTATGCAAAAGGCTCAAACCTGATTCCATTAGACGTACTACTCGAACGTGTAACGTCAGCAAAAATTCGCTCATTGATGCTTTCGTCGAAGGAAGCCAACATGAATATGTTACGTATATGGGGCGGGGGCATCTACGAACTGGACGAAGTCTACGAGGCCGCTGACGAGTACGGAATATTGATCTGGCAGGTACCGAGATATAGCACCTCGCATGAAATTAGTATGATACCTAATCTGACATCATATCGTTTACAAGAAAGTTATATACGGCCATTAGTTAGCCACTCTTTTACTAGCTTTGTACGCTTTGAGCAGCCTTTTCAAAAGTTCTACAAAGTAACTATTCAATCAAATACAGTTCGACCGCTGAGCTGCCCCTGTAGCAGACCTCATGGTGTCGATTGATTCACGACGTGATTATTCTATTTAACAGGATCTCATGTTTGCGTGCGCGCTGTACCCATCGAACAAGGAATTTCTGGATTCCGTCTCGGAGGAGGTCCGCCAAAACATACGTCGCCTACAACACCATCCTTCTCTGGCTCTGTGGGCTGGCAATAACGAAAATGAAATGGCCATTGCCAGCTTTTGGTGGCCTCAAACGGTAAGACTAACGCGCAAGATGTGCCTCGGCCAATTGTTGCAGCACAAGTATTTAAAAGTAAACGGGGAAGAAGATCATATACATTTTTGTATGTATGCAAAATATGAATCAGATTTATGGACTGTTTATGTAATAGTTGAATGCGGCTAGCATGAGAATTCTGCACTAATTATCCACACCTGTCAATGTTATGACAGATGTTTCACCTCACACGCTACAAGGATGACTACCGTACGCTTTACGTCCATACAATTAAACCCATCGTCGAGGAAACAGATCCATTCAGGAGCTATCTCGTTTCTAGTCCTACGAATGGACTGCAAAGCGAAAAGGAGGATTACCTCTCGAGCTCTCCAGGAAGCAACCTCTATGGCGATGGTACCGCGCCATAAAAGACTTTTCGCCGTTTTTACAATATGCTACTTTTCTGTGGTCCTTTATCACTGAATTGGTTGTCGATCACTAGTGGTGCACTATTCCAGTAAAACAGTTTTTAAAAAATGTTTAAAAAAGTAAAAAGTTTTTAAAAAAATATTAATCCTATGGCAAACTTATAAAAATTTAACCATTTGAATGTAGCTGTGTTTGTTTATGTTAGCTTTTAGTACGCATTTTTTTATTGTACGTATTATATACGTGTTATAAATGTTGTTTTTAAATGTGTTTAAATGTTGTTAGAAATAACAATGTTAAAAATTGACGAATTCCCCATCATGGAATTACATAATTTTTTGTCAACTGTACTAATATGTACACTAAAATGTAACAACAAAATATAAACAAAATTACTGTATTGCCTCTTCGTTTCTCTTCTTCTAACTGACACTACTAATCGATATTGTTATGTTTCAGTCCACTTCTACAACTACTTGATGGACAGCTGGAAGCCAAATAATTTTCCGACTTCGAGATTCGTGTCCGAGTTTGGTTTCCAAAGCTTCCCATCCCTACGTACCTGGTCACAGGCAACGGACAACCTTAACGACCTTGTATTTCCTCTATCTGAACTGGCCAATCACCGGCAGCATAGTTCGGTTGGTAAGTTCGCCCGCCTTAATCCTTTAAAGTGCCCCCTTGGCTGTTCACTACCCAAAATCTCTCTCCATTCACAGGCACCCTAAATTGCACATATCCTGGCAATATGCGTCTTTAAGTCATTCGAGCCGTGTCAAAAACAACCCTCTGAGTGCCTTCCCTTCGCTTTTCCGCTTTCGCTCCGTCCCGTCTTACGTTTCGATCGATTTCCACAGTTCTTGTCATTCCAGGTAACGCGAATATCGAGAGAAAGGTCTACACCAAGTTCAATGGGCCCAAAGTCAGTCTCGGCCCTCAAGAACAGTTTCGTATCTTTTGCTACCTGACACAAATCCATCAGGCCGTCTCAGTCAAAACGGCGGTCGAAAAGTTCCGTCGCGACCGAAGTCAGATCGACAGCAGCAGCGGAGAGGGACACAACATGGGCGCCCTCTATTGGCAACTGAATGACATCTGGCAAGCACCGACATGGGCTTCAATAGGTAGGTTTCAAAAGAGAAGCGATATGTGATTAGCTCGATTTTAATTCCCACATTTTAGCAAGAAATATAATTTTCTTCGTTTACTAACTGCGCACAGATAGCACAATGTGTGTTCAGTTCAATAGGCTAAAACCTCATTGTAAACCAAAATAAAATCATGAATCATGTATTACTTTCTGAATCCTAAACAAACGTGCAGAGTACGATGGCACCTGGAAGATGTTGCACAACTATGCCAAGAACTTCTTCTCCTCGCTTCTGATTACGGCGCATCACGAACACTCACTATGGCCGTATAGAAATGATATCAGTGTCTGGATAATCAGTGAGTTTGAAACTCCGATTCCAGTTAATATCACGCTAGTGCTGTACAGCTTCGACTCATTCGTACCTGTCAGGTAAGAACAAAATAACACACCTAGGTTAGTTGGAAGGAAGTTCCCTAGGGTAAAGAAAAAACTCGTTAGTTGAACTTGCTGAATCTTCTTCCCTTCCGCGTACTTTATATTTTATAGATTTATTATTTAGAGCTTCCTAAAATACCACGCGTCTTTGCTGCCAAGAGTTCCATTATATACTTTTATATTGCGTTCTTATTCCATACCCGTATTTAAATATGTCTATCTCTATTATTCACATGTCCCTTCCGATCGTAGCTAAATCGAAATTCCTGCTTGATACGATTAACGAAATATTATACTGTACTGGTGGGCGTCACTACCGATAACTACTATATCTGCCGCAGAACAGCAAATTGTTTACATCACAAAAACTGTCGTCCCTATTTCAGGTCCTTGTCACTCAAAAAAGATCTCTGCTCGGACTGTTCGATGGAAGCGGTTTCGATAAAAGTTGATGATCTCTTTAATGAGCCATGTACATTTGTAACATGTTTCCTTATCGTGTTGATGAGAGATTCAAAAGATGAGCTCTTATCGGATAACTGGCTGATCCTTGAAGTGCCAAAAAAGATTACTTCGATTGTCGACGCTGACGTTCGAATCAACAAGGTGCTAGGGCCAAACAGGACTGACGATGGTCGATACGAATTCAGTGTTGAAGTCCGAGGCAATGCACCAGCGCCATTTACGTGGCTTGAAGCCGGAGACGTTAAGGTAAATTATTTCTTCTACCTATTAGAAGTTATTCGTTGAATTCTTTGTGCAATGAAATATTAATTTGTAAACATTAGAAATATATACTAATTTGCGATCTCATGTGGCATAACTAATATTATGTACAGCAAGGCACACATATATCCTCATATTTCTTAGCAACTTTAGAGTTTGGTATATCCTTTCCCAAGTATGCATAAGTATAAGTGAGTAATTCGTTATTTGTCTTTTGCATTGCTATATATCGCTACATTACGCTAATAGATCAATAGCAATTCAAAATGGCCAGTCTGAAAAATCTTAAAACTTTTAATTATGGTAACTGTGAGGGGCTGTGGTTTGTGTTAATTATAGAAAACTGAACTAACTTATCAAAGTCAGTTAACAAGGATGAATTTTACGAACGTTCCAGGGCCACTTTAGTGACAATGGCTTCTTCCTTTATGAACCTAAGAAGACAGTAAGCTTCATCACCGTCAGTTCTAACGTGACGGCTGCCCAACTTGCCAAGAAGATCTTCGTTGTCCAATATAGTCATGCTGTAGATCTGCCTAAAGCCGAAGCCTGAAATAACCTTTGCTCGAAATAACCAAACGAGCTTTTTACTCATAGTCTCAATCCGTGATAAATCTGTATAGGTTTTATCAAAGTATATATACATACAAACTTATTTATATATAATAGTAAACTTTATAAATGTAAGACAAATAGAGAAGATGTAATATATGTGGGGTTGTTAGGCAATATTAAGATATAGATAATAGATATACTTACGTTGGTGTGAAGTACACCCCTTTCGTGGCGAAGTCATGCGCCGTTCAAATTAATTGCTTGTTGCTAACAATTTTCGGCTGAAGCGCTACTGAAGTACATGAGTACATCTTGAATGTAGAATTTATTTGTGCACGCTATTTATTAATTCAGTACAATAACTTTATACTATGAACTCAAACAATGAATGAAACGTCCGAAAATGAATAAATTTGAATCGTTCAAAAGAAACAAGGGCATGCCTTCTGATGCGGATGCACCCGACCGTCACAATAGCAATAGGATGAAAGGCGTCTCTAAAAAGGAAAACGAGAAGAAGACCTTAGTGAAAAATATAGCCATACACTAAAGGAAAATGGATGTGAAATTCTTTTGAATTTTGAAACTTTAACTTTTGATAATAGCCATTCTAGCGTTAATATTATGTACGTTTCTATAGTGTTCTTTTACAACCTAAAATTGATAGGGATTAATAATATGATTAGAACTATTTCATAAATTCACTCATTCATAAAATGTACACAGTAACCTATAGTGCACGCGGGTAAATATAACTTAAATAGGAAATAAATACCTCCGCTTAATTTTACTTATGGCCTAGTTAACAACTAGTAAGGCCAAAATGTATACATGTGATTATAATACTTTGCCTACAATTGTACAAAGTAACTATCTACAAAGCTTCTAAATTCTTCACCTAGGGCTTCAAGATCAACTATACAAATTATTCTCTAAATAAGTATGACAACAAATGATTGTCTACAACATACTATTGTTTATTTAACTTCTTATATGCTTTCGAAGGCTATACAAATATATTTCGTACCGTGACGAACAAAACTTACTATACTGATAGGGCCGCGGGCCAGTTAGATGCAGCCCTCGTGTCTCTATATTGAGTTTGAACCTTCATCTGCCCTTGACCAGCCATTGCACAAAAGTATAATCCTGACAAACCATACACAAGCAGCCATTTGGTATTTATACATTTGCAAGAATTATTATTATTGTAATTGTTATCATGTACTATTCACAATGGCAACATTTTATAAGGGGTCCCTCGAATACATTTGTATCTTCATGTTTGACCCTTTTGGTCTATCTTCAAACTGTTTGTTCTGTCGACAATATCTATCGCTGAGCTTTTTTCTTATTAGGGCTAGAACCTCTGAGTCAAGTACGGCTCTGAAGATGTCATTCGTTGAAAAATCTACTCGCGTTTTAGAAGTGGATTCATCTGAAAACATAATCATAGCACAAATGAAGCGAACATGTACTTTTACGGTGATTTATGTTTGAATACAGCGTAAGAGCGTAGCAACAAGCACACCGAAAACCAGCAAAAATTAAAATTAGTCATTATTTCGTTTTTGAGAGATACCCTTTCGTCGTAGAACGATGTGATACAGCTGAATACGCAAATTAGAGCGCACTTTCTTAGGTGAAGTCAAAAGTATGAAAATAAACGTATAGGTTAAAGATATAAAAAGAAAAATAATACGTTCAAACTTACAGGAAAAGACGGAAATAATGATAATATTGTTCGACAATGCAGTATTACGACAACCGTATAGAACGGCTTTGCTTACTTCAAAAGAAGCAAATTTATTGTACAATTTCTAACTGGTGGTACTCGGTGGCTAGCCATATACGATGCAACTAATAAGCTATTTTAAAGGACCTTCATGTACTTCAGTATATGCCGTTAGCGCCGATACCACAAGGAAGCCGGATTTTCCAAACAATGGTCAACATTTATTTCAATTCCGCTAGTGGCCCTATCACGAAGAGAGCCAGCTGAATCCTTTATTTATTCAATCATTTTTCCCACTTCCAGCCCGACAAAACCTAGGCCTTTTTTTCCTGGAATTCCTTATATTACTTACACCTGTGCCACTCGACAATGGAGAGTAGGGCCTAATATTCGCAGCGAAATGGTTCGCTTATAACCAGTACTTCCTGTTGACCGACAGGCAAAATATTCTAATATAACACATGTCCGTGCTACCTGTTTATGACAATAAAATCCATCATTCATTGTCTGTATTAAACGTCGGCCTATAGCCGAACTCAAGCTGTGAGACAAACCTATATAAATTAGAATAGAAATAGAAATATATCTATAAAATCTATAAACTTGTAGTGCGACTTACGTTTGGGTGTAGCCTTGATGAACTCTTCTAACGAGCAGCGCTCGACTGGAGATATTAGGTACCTTCTAACAATCTCTTCATCGTTTGGTTCGCTAATTGACGGTGTGGAATCGGCTTCATCTAACGAGTCGTGCCGTATAGGCTCTTCGGACGGCTGAGTGCAACTATGCTCGGCTGTGTCCGAATCGCAATTCATCTTCTCAAGAGACCTTTTAATAGCCTCAAAAATGACCTGTAAAGGATAGCAGAAACAATTAACATCCGTTTTACGCTTCTGTAACGAAGATACAGTGATATGATGTATGTAGAACCCAACAGCTACGTTTATATATACGGATAAGCATCGCTTCACGAAAAGCAGTCTTCAAACTTGGTATAATAAAAGTATTGCATAATGTCATGCGTCCGCCTCATGTGCTCGTGCCTTTCGTTTTATTGTCTTATAGCTACATACGTAAAATCGGGACCTCAATGGAGGTTGGCCTTCGAACTTACTTGCACATTGCTGTGCGTGAAGAAGCTAATAAGCTAAACTCTTTCCTTGTATAATAATTCTTTGTAAAAAGCTCCTCTTAGGTAATGCTACCTTTACGTTACGCGTCTTAAAACAGCAGCGTTGAAAAATATGAAATACATAATTTTTACCAAACAATCATTTTTCGGAATGGAAAAATAAATTATCTTGTTTACCTTGACACTGCGTACCGGTCGAACGCCGTTAAACGCTGGCAACTTCCCTTCAACCAAGTCATGAATACGATCGACTAAAAGGGATGCTATTGCCTCATCTATTTTATCGGCTGCATCTGAATCTAAGTCGAACCATCGATTGACGTTTATATTGCCGTCATCTACACATCGGACAAAGTGCCACCAGTGCTTTGGGATAAGCAGCACCTGAAATTGTCCGACCCGATAGTGGGAGCTTCCAGTAAAATTAGGTGTCACCGGTAGATGCAACTGATAGCAGCTAATGAGAAATTTGCTCCAACTTGAATTTACTTAGTTTCAAATATATTATAGCAATAGAGAGTAATTTAACGCTCGCATAGTTAGCATAACGGTAGAGATAGATTGTGTTTTTACGCGCACCCTTATACTTTACGGCATAAAACAAAAGGCTTAATGCTGAACTTACTTAATCTCGAGAGCTCTAATAGATGCCGAGCGAAGGGAATGTTATAATCTGCACAAAGTGTTAATGAAAACGTTTTTGTCAGAAATATTCAACGTTATGTTTAGGCGGTTTAAAATAACCCAGAAATACGTATACACTTATCAGGAGCTAGACACATTTATATCTAAGCTAATGACATGCAGATAACAGGACAAAGTAGTGCACTAAGATGGTCCTGTCTAAATGCTTACCTCTCCGGGTTTAACAATGACACGATACGGCGTGGCATTCTTAAACAACGGCCATTTTGCAATGTTGATTGGCATTCTGTTAAAGTCAATTGAAGAGAAAACCGTTGATTCTTCGAAAGGGAGACGAGTTTCGTAGAGATATTTACCGTCCGATGGAGGGAACAGAAACCACTCTTTGGCACCTATTAGTTGGCAAGAGAGATTTAAACCTTGAGCCAAAAACCAACAATTCATTCAATCATTCAAATGTTAGAAACTACTACTTATTTTATAGATTTTCAAGTTGACTTACCATTGGGCCGATTCACAGCCCTACGTTACATTTCGTCTCAAAATCTACTACATAACAGAATCAGATTGCGTTCTGCCTTCTAAAACGGGTAACTAGGTGTGATGTATTGTTACAAGTATCGAGCTTTCCTGAAATTCATTGGACTAAATAATCAAAATATATTGATACTTTTCGCATGCTTTTAATGAGAACAACAAAAACTTTGGCCGAATCGCGTTTTGCCACCATCTGGAAAAAATATTAAATTATTCAATACAAGGTGACTTTATTATAAGATAAGCTTCTTTCGCAAAGCATATTCACAGATTCGCAGAGAGAGCAATTAAAAAAGGTTAGTGCTACAGCGGAACTGCTATAGGACATGCGTACTAGTATTTAGCCTACCATAGCTATCGCGATGGCACGGTGTAAATGCTCCTTTGCTACCCATCCAAATAGTCGTGTGCGTGCAATCCTTGTCACCACTCTCGAAAAAAGACCAGTCAAGACAATCTTTTCGTTTCATTGTTCCAGCCGACATCCAGTTGTATGCCGAATAGACCCATCTTTCATGGAGGTCAATGGAAGGTTTATTAAAATAACCTGGAATCAGATCCTATGTTTCGTACTTGATTGCCTATTTAAAGTAAAACTATTAACTACAATTTATATATATATATATATGAATTTCTTTTTCAAGAGAACGTTGTTTTATAAATTGTGTGCGCCGTACACCTATTGATACACTTTTTTTTTTAATTCATTTTCTGTATTCAAAATCCACTTGTACAGTTTGAAATCTGGAACCGTTAACTCTGATATCGTCACCTAGGGTTTTAGCAAGCAAGTCGTAGTAAACCACCAAAAATATAAACAGTAATTACAAAGATAGGTTCCAGTTTGGAACTATAGCGAAGAAGATAGCCCGCCATATGAATCTTTTATCCGGTGACGGTTCTACTATCGCGAGTCATTGTGTCACATGATTCTGGGAAGGAGTCGAGAGGAGGGGTCGAGTCCTATAAATGATCCCTTATGAAAGGTGAGTAGTAAAAAGTCGCGAGCTTTGATGGGAGCCGACTCATCTAAGAATGCACGGACGTTAGCACTCGGCTTCAATGTATGTGAGAATACATATTTTCTCATCTCCATCAAATTAAAAGAGCGAAAAGAATTGACAAACAGGTACTGCATGATCTGAATGGGCACCAAAAAAAGAGATCTGTAGTAGTGCTTGAGTTTTTTCCAGGGTGCAATTCTAGCACCGGATTGTAGCTTGTAATGGGAAATGGATTCTCCACGATGATCGCAGATGGTCACGTTAGCGAGTAAATCAACTGAATCGGCGAGACATTTCGAGCAAACGGTTGTAAAAGCGTATAATGTCTGAGCGGGAATCTGGGAATACACTACAATTTAATGAGGCAAGCGTTAATTATGACTGAACGGTACTGTGCCTGAAGAAAAAAGTTTATGGAAAACGTCACAGCTAAGCAACCAGAAAGAGCTACACACCGAAGGAATCACGGTGCAAATAATGCAGGAGCTATAATAAGAAGCTTTTTATGACAAATAAATTGGTTACTTTCCAAACGGCTTTTAAAAGGTTACAGATAATATTAGTGCACTATACTATACAAAAAAAGAACAAAGTTAGAGTTCATTATGCTATCTTAAATACCGAACGATTAGATAATATAT